CCCCCTCTCACCCCGCGCGTCGTCTGCTCCGCCGAGTGGGCTTACGTGAAAACTGGGTTTAACATCGCGTCATTTTGGAAATTTCAAGCGCAGATGCGCGGATTTTGATATGCAAGTTATCGTGTAAGACTATGCTCGATTAAGAGACTAACCGGGTCCAATTGCGCTGTTACCCGCGTGCAAATAAAAAAATAAAAAGAAAACTGTGTCAGATTGGCCGGTCTCTCCGGCGAAAAGCGAATCCACTTGCTGTACCTTTCTTACTATACAAGGTTCGTACTGGTGCAGGCCTTTAGCGACCATGAGTGCAAGTCTGAAATAATAAATAAAAGCAATCTCTCCTGCCGCAATACACGCAGTAGTTGAGGATAGTACTGCCGGCTGACTCCAATGCTATTTAAGTAACGGAACAAAGATACGCTATTGATCATTTACCTAAATACATCTTGAATTGACGTCACCTCCAGTATGGGCGAAAACATTGTTTTGCCTTTGCCACGCCAATAGAAGGCATTTAGGATATAAGTGTAACCGTCACACTTTCTCGTTTTGCCTCCCCTTTATTTCTTTACTATTTGCAGGTTGAAACGTTTTAGTATTTTTTCGTCGCCCATACCGGATACGCCTATTAGGTGGCTGGGGACGAGAGTACACAGAAAGGGTCTATAGACCTTTCCAGCGGCAGTCTCGAACGAAGCGATTTACAGCGCGTGTCCCTGGTTTTGAGAGTGTACGTCAGTGTTGCCCGACTGCGCTGAGCTGTGGAGTTTCTCGTCAGTAGGCTGTGGCAGCCTGCGTAGGCGCAATTCCGGACGCTGATAGCGGCTGAATTGCCGCGTTTTCTTTTTTTATTTTGTGTTCTGTGGCGAACATAATTTATAGAGGTATTTAAGAAAGCAGTGATCTATTTTTGGGAACAAAAACAAAGAAATGAAAGCTGTTTTGGTGAGTCCGTGAGCGACAGAACAAATGCAACTGGAATGTTTGTTTCATTTTATGTTCATCATTTTACGGCACCGTACACTCGGCCGTGTCAATCTATATAGGTCAAAATATTTGACCACACATGATATCCGAACTGCATGGATATTCCCCGTCCACAACATGAAATTCAATGAGTCTCATCAATCGAACAATATATATTGTACTTACCCCATGGTGCCGCGTTATCCGAACAGGATTTGAGAATGGTCTCAAATAACACAGCATATTCAATATACAGTGTCGACGATAGTCACTTCACGACGATCGGACGGAATCCGGCGTGTTTTGGGGCACATGTAGAAGAGAGCAGTTTTTTTGCACAGCTTCAAAGAAAATGAACGAACGTGTCTATTCTGTCCCCACACCCCGGACCCGACCCTATCAGCTATTTTTCGCGAAAACCCGGAACACAGCCGGGAAGGCTTTTTGGAGATTATCTCAACGGAAATAATCCTCCAAGAACGTCGAACTGCTTGCGTCGCGGGCTGCTTGACGTTCGCTCTCTTCGTTCGTTTCCTGCGAAGGCCGAGCAGGCTACGAGCCCTGGTATTCTCTGGTTCTCACAGTGGAAGATAACATACAAAGGGTAAGCATCCTAAACAGGCGAAAAAAGTAAAAACTTCCAAGAAAAGCCGGCGAACTCCGAATGCAAAATGCAGGTGGGGAGTCACGCTGACCGGGTTTCCACAGCTCAGGCGGGTGACAGAAATTTCTGGCTGATAGGGGTCGCTTGATTCGCAAAATGGCGGCGGCCAGAGCGCTCTTTTTGCAAAGGTCTATAGGCTGACTTTGAAGTAGCCATATATATTCTAAGAACGCGAAGCACTTCACAATGGCAGCCACGAGCGAGAGTTCGATGTTCGGTACAGCCCGCCAGTACACCTCGAAGATGGAGAATGGCAACTTTCCGGTTATTAGGGTCATAGCAGAGAGGGTAAAAAGAGAAAAAAAAATGCCCTCCCCCTCTCGCCCGTATGTCCTCTGCTCCGCCGAGTGGGCAGTATGTAGCATCCGGCTGGCGTACAAACTGTGCTTAAAGGGATACTTCAACGAAATTTGAAATATTCCCGTCGTGTTCAAAAATAGGTTGAATATGATCCACAATATCCGTAAATGACAATCGCACGTTTGTATTTTGAGCCTGGTGGCTGTATTTTTCGTTATAAACGGCCCACTCTGGCAAGCGCTCGGAGAAAGCCCAGCGGAGACCACGTGACATCCAACGCAATCGTGACGTAGGTCGTCTCAAGACGAGCAAAGCTACGGCGAGGCTGACGTCGAGAGGATGGCCTAGTCGTTCCAGCCACCGAAGCGGCTGCTTTTGTACAAATTTTTAGTGACGGGTTAATCTTCTATAATCTTGTAGGGGGACAATAGCGACTACTGCGACACACAAAAGGCATTCTCGGGAAGAGGGGAGTTCCTCCTGCCCCTCTTCTCTCGTCGTGGCCGGAGGCGAGACAACCTCCGTGACTAGCTGCCAAGGTTCCTAGACGGGCATTACAAGCGAGGCGTTAGCGACATCCACTAGCTGCTTTTTGCTAATCGTTTAATTCGTTTTAAAATTCCTTTTCGTGACATTTTTAACAAGATATTGGTATGTTCGATTTGATGGTGCTTTTTTGAACACATATAGACCAAAAAATGAGCGCCGAAATTTCGTTGTAGTATCCCTTTAAAATCGCGTCATTTTAGGAATTTCAAGCGCAGAAGCGCAGATTTTGGTATGCCAGTTATCGTGTATTACTATGCTAGATAAAAAAGACTAACAGAGTCCAATTGCGCTGTTATCTGCGGGCAAATAAAAAAAATAGGGAAAACTATGTCAGACTGGCCGGTCTCTCCGGCGAAAAGTGAATCCGGTGGCTGTACCTTTTTTACTATACGAAGTTCGTACTGGTGTAGGCCTTTAGCGACCATGAGTGGATGTCTGAAATAATAAATAAGAACGTGCTCTCCTGCCGCAATACACGCAGTAGTTGAGGGTAGTACTGCCGGCTGACTCAACTGCTATTTAAGTAACGGGAAAAAGATATGTCAGTTGATCATTTACCGAAGTAGAACAACAGAGAGCTCTAGGCTAATTTTGGAGTAGCCATAACTATTCGAAGAACGCGAACCACTTCACAACGGCAGCCACGAGCGAGAGTTGGATGTTCCGTACAGCCCGCCGATGCAGCCCAAAGATGGAGAATGACAACCTCCCGTTTTGTTTTCCGCTAGCGGAGTCGGGCGCGTGCCCTCTCTCTCGTTTTACCCCGCCGAACCCGCTGAATTTCCCGGATGTATGGAGAGGGCGCTGCTGTCGAACAAAATGGTGCCGCCCAGAGAGCGCTAAATCAAGAAGGTAAGAGAAGCTCCTCCCACAAGCGTGATGCGCCCGTTTAATATCTCTCCGCAGTCGAAAGAAGAGTTCACTGGAAACGCTCCTTGTTCTGCTTCAATGGATTCCAACTTGTCTCCGATCCCACTTTTTTAAGAAAGCGACCTTTGTATTCATTGGAGGGGGAACCGAGCCCCTGAAAGCAGCCTTTGTATCCATCGGAGGGGGAAGCTAATCCCCGAAAGTCGTATTTGTTTCCATCGGAGGGGAAAAACTCTAATCTCCCTTTCGTGGCTTCCACAATGCTAAGTCAAAGTCGAAAGGTAAAGCAAATATGTACAGAAAGGCAAGACCCTCCTCGCGCGTTGGCCGCGACGTCACGGGAACGATGGGACGCTATTGGATGCGGAGGTGGCAGAGGGATATATCTTTGAGGGACATTTGCTGCTACCTTCTTAACCTGCAACTAGGAATGTCGCGAACTTTTGTCGAACCGGATTTTTAGGTCGAACTTTCGGGGTTCGACTTCGACCTTTTCACCAAATTCGACAGGTTCGACTTTGTGGACAGTGTGGCCAGACCTTAATACAAGCATATCTAAGTTTGAAGAATTTTTTTTATGCAAAGGGTTATTTTATTTATGAACAGTTGCAATTAAAAGAAACCAATTCTAATCACTGAAAAAGTTAATAACTTAATTTTTTGTAGTGTATTAACTGAAATAACCAGTCAGCACTGCCCATACCTTACCCATTACATCCAATCCGAAGCCAACTGGCCAGCCTGTCGCGCATGCGCACACGCGTCGAACCTCAATACAAGGTTCGTCGAACATTCCACCAAAAGTTTGAAAAAGTCGAACCTGGTCGAACTCAAACCTCGGCCGGTTCGCGACACCCCTACCTGCAACCGACTATAGCGGAGTTGAACGCGTGCCCTCTCTCTCGTTTTACCCCGCCGAATTTCCTGGATGTACGAAGAGGGCGCTGCGGTCGTGCAAAATGGCGCCGCCCTGACAGTGCTAAATGGAATGGTCTATAGTCGAGTGCTCCAAAGTGATGGGTATTCGACTTAGGGCATGTCTTGCAATCTTTTGTGTTGCGGATGCTGTTTTTCAACTCGTTGGGAACTGTTTTGCCCCGCATTATAGCATCCGCCAGTGCGGCAATGCCGAGGGAAAGCGGCACTGAACGCCACCGATAAAAATCGGAGGGTACCCAAAATATTGTTTCAGTTGACAGAGACTGAATTTTCCTTCAGGTTTTCTGTCGTTTTAGATGCAGCACACAGAAAATATGTTTGGCGTTTCATGTCGTCCACAACAATGAAATATGATGTGCACAATATACTTTAGTTGAGCGCGTTGGTGATAAAGTTAAATACAAGATAGAACGAAACATAAAGGCCAGAGCACACTATTTGTGCCTTAACATTTAAACTGCTCCCTCTTTAAGAAAAGATGTATTTCTTTTATTGCAGAGAGAGAAAAGCATGAAGTTTAAGAGCTTTGCCTCTTTCTATATCAGCTTCAATTAATCACCACAAGAGTGTGTTATAACTACCTCAATTTTGGGGGATACTGAAGCTTAGCAACATCATCAGCTGTGACCTGTTCAATTTAAAACAGCCACTTTAGAGCAAGTATCTTGATCCTTGTGTACGTGCTATTTAAATAAATTACTTTCACTGTCAGTCAAATGTTTGAAGAAAAGTTTTACTGTATGCAGAGGTTGTACTTCAGGGGTTCTGGTTGTAAATTGAAGTCCATCTCAGAGTGAAGGCACCCATTGACACAGAGGTTTGTATATATATACTATACGTATACACTATATACAAATTTTATATTCCTTCTTGAAAATTAGACTGCACTACTATAACAACAACCATGCAAGAGAGGCATCTAAACGAGGCACGCTAGGTCTAATCCAAAACACTGTTAGTACTTATGACTTCTAGATTGTTGACATAATATATTCTACAACGGGATTCGTGCTTGAAAGCAAAAACAGCGCACCACGATACAATCACTTCCCATCACTGACACATTTCTGTAACACAATCATCCTCAAAGTAGGAGGCTCCACTGTACAAGTCTGTTCATGATGCGTACTATGAGATGACAATGTTAAGGCTTCTTCTTCATAACACACTTACACATACTGCACCTCACTCAAACACAGTTTAAATACTCTCACTGTACAGAGTCCACCATTCCTATATATATATATATATATGTACACATTTATCTATACAACGGCAGTTGGTAGAACACCTCCCACTTTCCTTCACAGTTCGGATTTAGCCACGTTGCACCAGGCTGCACAGTTTTGCGTCGCCACACGAAAGGAACTCAGCACCACGAAGACTTTGGCATGTAGTCCAGTTCCATGCCCGACGCGACCGACAGCGAGGAAATGCCGCTGCCGCTGTTCCGGTGACTCGCCGATGCGGATTCCTCGCCACTTGTCGTGCACGGCGTGCAAGGAGCCGTTGAAGACGCTGACAGCGACCAACCTTCGACGGGCGCGTCAGCACGACCACCGCGGGTGAAGATCTCTTTCAGAGTCTCTATAGGGTCGTACTTCTCGACCAGGTCCACCTCAGAGCCACTCCTAGGAGACTTCAGGAGTGCGGAGGTGATTGTGGGCGACAGCCTCCCGTCTTGAACAGGATCGCCACTTTTGCTGTGGACCGTATCACTGACAGGCACTGGGGGCGGCGAACTGCTGGGGAAAATGTGCGTGTAGGTCTGCACGTGGCCGCAGTTCAAGGGAGAAATGGCAGTGGGCGTGTTGGCATCCGCATACAGCAGAGGCTGGATGTGAGGGGGTGGCAGCGGGAGAGGAACTTCGTAGCCGTCCGCGTCGACGGTTGGTTCGTTGTCGCGGAGAAGTTGGAGGTACCGCGACGTTTCGGCCGCCCCCGCGGGGGACTGCGGGGCCGAGTATTTTCCACAGTGCAGAAACGGAATCTGGGAGTGGAAACAATGTTGAAGCGTTTAGGCCAGTCGTTCTCAAATGGAGGTCTGCAGACCTTTTAAGTCTTCTGAAATCCTTCTTAGGTCTCCCAAAGCCCTCAACCACCAATCAAGCCGAGCATTAAAACTTTTTTTTTTTTATTGATGCTAGCTGTTTTACAGAGCTGAATACATTGAACCATTCACATTGAGTCCGTAGGGTTGAGTATTCTCCATTTCAAATTGTCAAAGTTTGTTTGTGCAAAATTAGTTGGCTTCGATTGCCCTTTTGTCATTGTAATTGTTCAATACCCTCTTTATCACTTCCGTCGATCTAGAAGGGGTCCCGGGACACCTTTTGGATCGATGGATAGAAAAACTTGTCACATGAAGGGTTTTAACTATCATTAAAAAGGTCTCGAGCTTTCTTGGAATGCAGGATTCAAGATTAAACTATGAGGGATGATCGGTTTGAGCGATTTGGCGAGCTATGAGGCTTTCGAACTTCGAGCTTAGGCAGATAACTGTTTGAACAAAATTAAGTTACTATAACCATAGCTTGTCAAATACATTACTAGGGTCATGAGACTATTGCTATATCATCAGGAGCAGATATCAATTGAACATCATTATTAGCATCACATTTCCTATTTTCATCTAGACTCAAATTATTTAAAGTTTTATAAGATATTTATGTTTGTGAATAACGAATCACTCGCAAAGTTGGCTATGATGCCAAGTACCGAACTCGGGTCTCTGAAAACAATCGCACCTGTCGATTCGCCAATGCCTTCAAACTGCAACGAACATGCATTAAAATGCTAATTTGCTGGTTTGCAAATATCAGTGGTAAATGTTCTCCTAGTATTAAAAATATTAGACATCCTATGATGTCCCACGGTTGGACAATTCATACCACTATTTCTCATCTCTTTTCAGGAAGAACAGGATTAGGCTACAATTAATACGGTGGGCGAATATTGGCACCACCGGCTGGGCTACAGCACCTTGTTTTGGAGAGTTACAACTGATCACCTCGCTAACACCAACTCCCCTCTGAATGCCTCTGGCCCCGATGGTATGAAATAAATATATATCCAGCTTCCATAGCTTCGTGTTATACCCACCATGCACTACGAAATTTTGGTATGATGATGACTAAAGAGCTACATCACCCCAGATATATTTTTACTTTGCCATGGAACTATGGTAGTACTAAGTTACCAAAGCCCCAAGGTGTCCAGAAAGGTAGTCTTCTATTCATAACATCATAAAATGTTTATAACTCCAGACAATAAGCATCTAAAAATCTAAAAGTGTAACACAGTGATTAATATTAATCTTGGAATGCACTTGCAAGAATCAAAGATGAAGCTTGGGCTCATGTGACAAAGGAACGAAGACTGCTGTACGTGAACAAGGTAAATATTTATTTTAACTCAGTGCTCTGTAGGAGTCTTTTTCATTTTCTTAAGCTTCCACTTGTGCCTCTCATAAAAGCTAGGGCCAAACGAAATGAGCATGATTCCAAGTGAACACCACACACCTGAGCCATTGCTGGATCACTACAGATGCTGTCCGTCTCCTGAGAGAGCAGGAGCGAATTTTGCTCTGGGATGCTCAGAGTCTTACTGGGACCTGTTCAAAAGAAAGTCTTGAGTGACTGGACTCCAGTGGCACGACTGCACAGGTCTGAGGCAATCTGTGGCCATGTATGCATTGTGCAACGAGGTCTGTCTACTAAATGAGTATACAGTTGCCAACCGATTTTTCGGACTTTGATAATTCGGACTTGTTCGATATTTCGAACCTAAAGGAGGAACCGTGACTTAGCCCATAGAAATAGTGCATATTCACAAGCAATGTTTCGGACAGCTTGAAGTCCGAAAGCTTGATTGTTTGGCAAAATCGTTGTGAGCGATCAGCGGGAAACACCACTAAGAAGCAGCCATTTCGAATTCTATTTTGGCTGCAAATGGATTGGCTTAGTTTGGCAGCGCTGCTTGAGTACTCCTGGGTCCTACCGCTAGGTGACGCTGTACGGCTTTTTTTTTCTCTAGCTGCGCGTCATTATCATCATCGTTGTTTCCATTTTGCTTCGTTCATTCGTCATTGCAGTCATGGACTTGCACCTCTCATCTCGACTCGGTAAATCATGTTTTCGTACAGCGCTGGCTTGGATGTCATTGCCCCACCTGTTCTTCCGCCACCGCGATCTGTTGCTGAGAAGCGCAGAAAGTACAGTAGAACCTCGTCAATACAGTCTCGGTTAATATGTTTTCCCGGCTGTTACGTTCAGAAATGCCAATCCCATTTTACTTCCATAAAGATACATGTATTAGTTTCCTGCCTGTTACGTTTGCTTTCCCAGTTATTACGTTCAAAAGTGTCAGCATAGCGGCACCTCGGCGCACTGGGCGCCACGCTGGCTTTGAAACGAAGCTAGCAGAGCAAAGCCGAACCATGCAATGCGGATCGCATGGCATGCATGGGCACGCAGAAGACGCCCGTGTTCCCTTTGCTCTTTTTCCCCTCTCCTCCGTCTCTCTGTCTCCTCGTTGTGCTTTGCCGAGCTCTGCCACAGCTTCCCATCTTACCTGGGTGTGACCTTGGAGCACTGCTCGGACGGGGAGCGAGGCTGGTGAGGCGGCAAATGCTTGCTCTCTCTTTCATCTGTCCTCTTTTTCTGGCACGAGGTGCACCCGAATGCATGCTGCGCTTCTAGTTTCTGTTCCACTCGATCGTGTAAACCGTGGTGTTTCGGAGTATGTGCACTTTGTGCCTACTGACGACAGTCATGGCATCGCGAAAAAGGAAGGCGTTTTCTTTTAAAGAGATATACTTCAGACGGTGCATCGCAATCCCAGCCGGAAGAGATCTCACATCGCAAGAGGCCTCGGACTTGCGCCATCAACTTTAAACAGCATTGTCGCCAAACGAAAGTAGATCGAGGCGTTACCTCTGAGCTGCAGAGCATAGCGGACATCGTGGCCGACCTCACTACTGCCAACAACAAAGAAAGTGTTGAAGACGTCGAGCAAGAAACAAACGACTAAGCGGCGCCCCCGTTCGCGGACGCGATTGTTGCGTTGGACACCTCGCGCTGCTACTTAAATATTCATGACTGCGCGGAGAGTGAGAGGACTGCGGCTCTTGGAGAAACAGCTTTTACTGCTTAACAATAATTCGAAGCGGCAGGCGGATATTACGCGTTTTTGTGATCATGTCTGAGACCTCAACAGTTCTGTAATTGCACATAAAATAAACCATTGTATAAGAGCTGCTTTCTATCTCATGTAGCGCCCCCCTAAGTGTTGTTGGTTGTTACGTTTTCCCGGATGATAGGTTTTTTTTCCCCCGTGGTCTCCTGAAAAACATATCAACAAATTCTACTGTAAAAAACGAGACGCGCGGGCGTAACCTGAAGCAAGGCACTGTTTACGGCTTTTCAAAGCCCGCTTAGACATAATAAAGGCAAGTTTTTTAATCTACTCATTTTTCGGACTGCTCTATCATTGGGACGTTTTTTCAGTCCCTGCAAAGTCCGAAAAATCGGTTGGCGACTGTACCTAAGCATTTTATCTATCAAAATACAATGTGCATTCCTATATAGTCTATTGGTAGTGGTAAGCGAATTATTAATCCCTGTCGTGTGCGACGTGTACTATTCACGAAGAGGTTTTGGATTGTAATTTCAGAGACACAAAAGCACTCATGCAGAGTTCATAGCACAACTTCAAAAGTAGCTCTCCCCATTTCAGGAAACAAACGTTTTGTCGCAGGGGGAAGTAAACTATGCTTTGCATATGTCTAATGCTTATTAACCCTTCAGTGATGTAACCTACAAGGCCCAAATGTAAAACGAGAAAGGCAAGTGACAGTTAATTTTTTGTCTTTTTACAGTTGCCAACCGATTTTTCGGACTTCGCAGGGACCGAATAATAGAGCAGTCCAAAAAATCAGCAGCTTAGAAAACTTGCCTTTATTGCATCTAAGCAGGCTTAAAAAAGCCGTAAATAGTGCTTTGCTTCAGGTTATGCCCGCACGCCTTGTTTCAGGTTACGCTTCCGTTTTCGTTCAACAACTTTCTTTTAGCTTGAGAGCCGCTGCCTCCTTTTCTAGCATTATGGTTGAGTACTTTCTGCGCTTCTTAGAGACACAACACAGCGGCAGAAGAACAGATGGGGCAATGACGTCCAAGCCATCATAGTCCGAAAACATGATCCACTGAGATGAGATCGAGATGAGAAATGCAAGTTCACGACTGCAATGGTAAATGAACAAAGCAATATGGTAACAACGGTGATGATGGTAATGACGCTCAGCTAGAAATAAAAAAGTCATAGAGCATCACCTAGCGCAGTACTACTCAAGTAGCGCTGACAAACCAAGCCAATTCATGTGCGGCCAACATAAAATCCAAAATGGCCGCTTCTGAATGGTGTTTCTCGCAGATCACTCGCAACGATTTAGCCCGAAAAATAAAACTTTCAGACTTCAAGCTGTCCTAAACATTGGTCGTGAATATCCACTATTTCTATCAGGTAAGACATGGTTTCTCCTTTAGGTCCGAAATATCTAACAAGTCCGAATTATTGGCGTCCAAAACATCGGTCGGCGACTGTAAATAATTTTTGTGAATTGATCAAATCAGTTACTATGTATATCAATTGTTAAAAATAATGTTTTTAATCCTAGTATTATATGCATCACTAGGTAGGTCGCTAGGCAATGACCAATAAAGTTCCATCTCTTGGAAAAAGTCAAGTTGAATTTGTTGTATAAGCATTTAGATACCAGGAAGCTGGTCTGCCTCAAAGGGTGCTTGATGTCTACAATGTAGATGAAAAATTTAGCCAGTAAACTACGACTGCTAGTCCGAAGTCTCTAACATATGTCACACTGTAGTAATACGTGAAAGCTGACTGGGTACAATGTTCATTCAGATCAAAATGGGCAGAGGTGGGAGTCAAACCCATTCAGAGGGAATTTCAGTCCATTTCCAGAAACACAACGTATATAAATTTAGAAAGAATTTCTCTCACTAAAATATATCAAATGATGGATAAAAAAAAGTTGATCCAGTAATTTTTCCCATATAACTAAAATATATCCGCTTTTAAACTAACCCTTTTTAGATTTAGATGTGACACTTTATGATCATTATATGTGACTTCACCAAACTATATTCATATCAACATTTCTAGATCTATTTGTAGGGCTTCCACACTAATGATAAACCTGCACAACCCCAGACATAATGAATGCAATGTTTCAATTACCACCACCAACCCTCCATCACCTGTAAGCTGTTAAGCCAAAAATGAGAAGCATTTGCAGAAAAAGAATAAAACAGCAGAGGTGGTTAGTATAAAAAAGATTGGTAAAAAGATAAGGAAGAAAGACTGAATAAAATGTAGGCATAAAATGCACTTCACATTGACTAAGACTAAACAACAATTGATGAGCTGAATTTCAAACTAAATGATGTAAACATTCTAAAGTGACATTTGATGTTTATCACATAGTGTTTCTGGGAGCCTCAAGATCCAAGCTGTGCCAAGAGTGGCCTCTGCTCTATTTCACCAAGACAAGCTGCTTTCTTACAAATGGGCTGTGGGAATCTCATTATGACACAGAAACAATCTTTCAATTTTTGTCCTTTCACTACAGTCTGGCTCCGAAGCACTTTTCCAAACAGTAAGAACTGCATAGTGCATGTTTTCATACTTGAAAAATTTCCACTTTGAAATCTCTTTTCAACGAGTCAAAATCTGTACTTAGATACTCATTAAATATTAAAAAAAACAATCTCATTTTGCTTGTGGGGCTCAGAGGTTCAGACATGGTAAAGGGTAATATCACTGGTCACTAGACCTTGAGCAGTAGACCACTCAGTCATTCCTGAAAACAAACATGAACACATAACTGCAGAGTGGAGTAAATACACTGATAGAAGAGGAGAGCAGTGCAGATGCAGTGGGGTGCAGGAAATTGCGAGGGTGCGGGTCATGCTATGTGTGCCGCATGCAATGTGCAGAGGTGCGAGTGGTGCATGAGCTGGGGTCCAAAGCGAAGCATCTACCTGGTTCAGGTGACCTTACAGGTGGTGGGTAATGTTCTCCCTGGTAGCCTAAATTGTCAATGCCACCTACAGTGCCAAAAAATACACGACCCCAAAAAAAAAATTTTTACTGCAAATTCTTCGAGACATCCACGCTGAAATATTTTATGAGGATGAGGACAGATAAATGTGCTACTTTTTTGTGGTCAGTTACACTGTCTTAATTCCATAGATCTCTTTCAAGTTCTCATATATGCATATTGAAGATCATGCAGTTGTCTCCTTTGAAATTTTATATAAAACTGTATATATATAACTGAAATTTTATATAAAACTGCAAATATAAAATGTGCAAATAACACTAAGTGACCTCCCAAAGTGCTCAGGTCTTCTGCACTGTTTTGGATGCTGAATAAAAAAAAATGGTATAGGGCATAAGTGAATTACATACCTAAATAGTGCTGTGCAATGGGAACAAGGAATAGTTCAACCAAAGTGTACTATCTAAAACTTGCATCTTATTCCTTCATAATTCAAAACTATAGCAATCAACACAGTTACATGATTAGTGCAAACACACTACCAGTGATTTCATAGGCTCTGCTCCTACAGATTTGCTATAACAAACAGCCATTATCATGCAACAATGCCTCTAGCTCTGAATCTACCTAAGATGCAAGTGCCTAAACATTGTGCGCTTGTGCTAGGAGCTTTTCCATGGATACTGTCGCGACGACACCATTTAGCTCGAGACGGCAACGTAAATTTTTAAGTGTTGTGAGCAGGCTATTTTAATAATGCTTAAAAAGATGTATGTTGTGAAAAGAATAATGTTAGCAACAAACTTCCATACCTGTGAATGCATGACCAATGTAGTTGTGATTGTGGACAGCTGTTGTCATGTTTGCAAAGGATTGATATTTCTCTCTCAGCAGCTGCAATGTCTCCAGGCAGAATGCAAAGTCTGGTCTCTCCTCCGGATTGTAGGACCAACACCTCAGCATAAGGTCGTGGCTGGAATGAACGGGTAACAATGAGGTGAACATGAACTTTTTGGCCTATGAACAAATTAATGCCAACTTTGCCCCCAAGTTACTACAAACAGCAAGTGACAGTGCTACAAGATTGATTTCTTGCTTACAACCAAGGTACATTACAAGGATTCTCCTTCTGAACCTTAAGGAAACACTGCATGTACAACAAAACAATATTTTTTTTAGAGCGCAGCTCTTAGGCGCCCGTTCCCGGCTTGAGCGGCATCGCCGTCGGCGTAATCGCACGGTGCATTATGAGTAAATTTCCCCGCTAAATCTAGCGGGAAAACTTGCCCGCTAAATCTAGCGGAAAAATTTCCCTGCTAGATCTAGCGGAAAAATTTTCCCGCTAAATCTAGCGGAAAAACTTCCCCACTAAATCTAGCAGAAAAAATTCCCCCGCTAAATCTAGCGGAAAAAATTTCCCTGCTAAATCTAACGGAAAAAATTTCCCCGCTAAATCTGGCGAAAAAATTTCCCCGCTAAATCTAGCGGAAAAAATTTCCCCGCTAAATCTAGCAGAAAAAATTTCCCCGCTAAATTTAGCGGAAAAATTTCCCCGCTAAATCTAGCGGGGAAATTTTGGTCACGTGACCAGCGTGACCTGGGGAGTCACGTGACCCCACCAAGGTCACGTGCCCTCAAGGGAGGGGGGGGGGGGGGGGAAAGTCACGTGACACCCCCCCCCCCCCGAGAACACGTGGCCCTCAGTACCCTTCCCTCCTTCTCCTCAAGAGCTGCGCTCCAATTTGGCGTTACAGGAAGTTGTAAACGGCTTTCACTTTTTATCTGCCCAGATAGGTTATTTCTGTCACAGGATAAACTTTTGCTGGAAAAAAAAAAAAACTAAATTAAATGCCATATTTACATTTCAAGACACACCTTGCGTTCGGAGCGATCATGTCTGCTCGCGCTCACTGAATAAAAAATTACAGCTCCTTGGAAGCCAGGGTCACAGTCAATGCAAGATAGGAGTCTTTTGTCAGCCTCCCATTGGCTAGTAGGAGTGTGAAAGAGAGGTACACCAACCATATACCTCTTTTTTGCACTTCCCCTAATATTGAGAAAAGGCAGAAGAGAGAAAACTGCAGAGGAGGACTGGACCATACATTCTATCCTTATAGTCTGTCGTAAATTAGGAAGGTAAGCCGAGGGGAAGAAGCTTCACCCTGAACTCTTTCCACTTTAGCAGAAGGGATGCTGGAAAGGAGAGGAGGAAACCGCCAATCATGGCAAGAAAAAGGTTTTGAGGGAGGAGCTTTTCCTCCGTTCTTAGGTTGCAACAGACTATAGCTTCGTCTAGATTGCGCCCCGTGACATAAATATTGCACCTAATTTTTTATTTTCCAATATACGCAGACTAGTATCCAGACAGTTTAAAACAAAAAAACAAGTTTTTGTTGAGCAGCAGTGTTCTTTTAGTAAACCTATTGTATACCTAGAAGCGAGAAAACAAATCCATTCATCAAGTCAGAAGTCAAAGGCTCACAGGTCATCAGGGCAGTAGTCGGGGTTGTCCAGCCGTCCTCCCTCACGCACATAGTGGAGGACTTCTAGGTTGGTCCTCGCAGGGTAAGGCTGCTGTCCCATGGTCATCACTTCCCACAGGAGCACCCCAAAAGCCCTGCAAAGGAGATCACTCAATGAGCAAGGTGGAGAAAGTGTTTGGTGAAACTAAGTCGGCATTTGTAGTCATAGTCTGCTGGAAAAGTTAAACTGGATATCATATGTGGCGGTCCACCGGCCTACCAAGCAGCAGATAAAAGACGACGACGTTACTCGTCGATACGAGCCCGGTGGCACGAGAGAATAAACAGAACGTTTTTACCTAAGCTCGGAGTCGGTCACACCATCTATTCCGTCCACAACATCGAACGCGCTACAAAATGGTGACCCGGACGTGATGATCGGCTCCGAGCACCTGCCATCCAGGGGAACGTTCTCCGCGGCACGGGACACGGCAGCGGCTTGGGATTTGGACGATTATGCAAGAACACATCTCCCTCGGCCCCCGCATCCGGATCCTCCAACACTGCCTCCGCACCGTCGCGTCTGCCGCCGGCATCTCCCAGCAACGGGTTGCGACCACCTCGCTCACCCCGCCGGCACGGCAAGTCTACGTTCTTTGGCATTTCCACCACTGCCGCAGCCCCTGGTGTCGCCCCGGCAGTCGTGCCCATCTGTGTGGTGTGGTGCTAGCCTGGCACGGTCGCGTGCTGCCACAATATGTGGGGCGTGCCGCACCGCGCCACGCTGGGGCATGGCAAGTCACGGCGGACCATACTGTTCTTGACAAGACACTTCGCTAACCGACCAGGGCCTCTTTATCGCTGGTCATGGATTTCCCTCCGCTCGGTGCGTCACCTCCAAGGATGACGCTGTATCGGTCCCACAGCTGACCGCCATGTCCCTTGGAGCCCGAGCTGCGACGGAGCCCACTCCACATTGGCTGCACAGCACGAACGCATCGCTGTGCCCTTTCTCTGCTGCCGCATTGCTCCAATAAGCCTGACTTCAGCGTCAAGTCCCTGCGTGGTTTGCGCAGGCTGTCTTCTGCACCACTCTCTGCCACGTCGTCCGGCTCGTATCACTAGCCAACGGCAACAGCCCAACTCACTTGCTGCTGCCGCAACCACTCAATCGCTCCGTCCCCTACAGGCTGCATAGCTGCAGGCGACGGCTCTAGGGGGGGAGCTCTGTGGCGGTCCACCGGCCTACCAAGCAGCAGATAAAAGACGACGACGTTACTCGTCGATACGAGCCCGGTGGCACGAGAGAATAAACAGAACGTTTTTACCTAAGCTCGGAGTCGGTCGCACCATCTATTCCGTCCACAACATCGAACGCGCTACATCATACACCATGAGCACTCGTATGCTACACCCATGTGGGTTCTTTCAGACTGACATGACAATCCAGGAGGGAAATCGGTGACTGACTGTGTTAATACACTGCAGCTGAGAGCATGCGGAACAAAAGCTTGCACTGCAAATCCCACGGCTGCAGATCTTTGCCCCTGCCCGTTTCGATCTGGACAAGCATCGCGCCGGTACGTGGTTGTGTGCAACTACGGCGTGATGCATGTTAAAGACCCTGGGCTAGCAGTGGCACTGCACTGGCTAAATTTCTCCTCAACAGCGGACACGCCAGACGCCCGTTGGGGCCGACCAACTTCCTGGCGTCCAAACAAGCGCACAACGCAACGTTTGCCTGTCCAACCGAAAGACGACCCTCACCAGACGTCCGAGTGCTTGGTGAACACTCCGTCCACCAGCGACTCAGGGGCCATCCAGCGCACGGGCAGGAGGCCCTCTCCCTCCTTGCGGTAGTAGTCGTGCTTGTAGATGTCGCGGGCAAGCCCAAAGTCACCAATCTTCACAATGCGCAGGGAGGGGTCGACACTGGAAACCAGGCAGTTCCTGGCCGCAAGATCCCTGTAAGCGGTACCAAAAATCTCGGTCACGAAACTGGGCTTTAAATAACCTTCGATGACGCAAGCTGGCACCCCGATGCTCCAGAACAAAAACTGTAGAGCCCTTCCACTTCATGTGAAGATGGAGGACCAGCGAAGCCGTTATTTTTTCAATGTCTAGGACAATGCATAGAGGACGACTTCTAGGACGACCTCAAGGACAATGCCTGGAACGACCTCTCGGACAACCTCTTGCACGACTTCTAGGACGACCTGGAGGACGAGGCCTAGAGATGATAACAAGGGATCAGGACCTCACTATCTAATAATGCCAAGGAAGACTGACTGACGCTGGTTGCTCCCTATTTTTATTTTTATTTATTCATACATGCCACGACCACTGGGGAGTTTTCTGTCAACATCCGTGGACGCATTTTTTTCCACATCCTAGTCCATAACAGCTTCGCTGTAAAAAGTGTTTGTAGAAAAGAACTAAAATTGTTTAACAATGAGACTCATCATAGAGTTAGTTGGTGCTTGATGCTCGGGAAAATTGTTAGCACCAGCACAGACACGGAGAAGGGGACACGGAATAAGCGCGCCTGTCCTCCTTCTGTTCATGTCCGTCTCTGTTTGCACTTATGAGTTTCCAGAAGGTTGTCGTTTATTTTTCTGCCTTCACTTAGGACAGGTAAGAGAACATATGCCTGGCTCAAAATAAAATAACAAAAATTAAAATGCTGCTATAGTTACCTCAAGAGCTAAGGAAATCAAAAACAAAGTGGAATACAGTGTAGACCGCATATAACGTATGTCGCGGGAGTCCCGAAAACCCGCACTACAAGCGGTACCGCGTTATAACCCAAACATCAATTTTTCAAGCCAAAATACATGCCATGAGACAACTTACCTTTGTAAAAGAATTTATTTCATGTTAGATAAAAAATAAAGCTTAGTTTGAGGAAGTCTTTATTTTACCAGACTAGTACACTTCTCTCTCAAGTGTGTCACACATTTTGAAGGAAATGAGCAACTTTCGCCTGGCGCAGCCTTTTAACGGCGTCGCGGGTTGCGGACGGACGTTGCGAGAGTTCAGGATTGCTAACCCTAATCACTTTTCTCCGATGAAAACGCGTGAAAATTCGCATCCTTTATACGGTACGCGCCAGTAATACCTTCAACTTGAGCACAGGCATGAAATGCTCCCAATAAGAAATCCGAGCGATGTTCGAAAACACAAATGCTTAGAAAGCACCACTGTAGTCGAAGTAAACAAACACGACGAAACGGGCGTTTCTGCCGTCTTGAGAGTGCCGCCACGACATCGCCGCACGAATAGGTGGATCTTCCCTTCTAGTCCGTGCTGGGTTATCATAGCGACACACAACAAAAATTCACAGTCAAGGGTAGCACTTTTACGCGGAACGACGAACTACAGCCCACTGTAACGCCGTCTACGTCGACAATCACAACCGACGCAATGTTTGCGGATAGAAGCAGCCGGCCCGCGACCGGCATGCAACGCGGGCGAACACTTCTCCTCGACCTGCGATTGGTCTGTCGTTGCGGTTGTTTCCAACCTTTCCAACGCAGTGGAGGGACCACGTGGGAGGGACGCACGCACGTGAACAACACGTGCGTGCGTCCCTCTGTCGCTATGGCAACTGAAGCCTCTCTCTTCGCTTCTCCCCGTTTCTTCAAGCAACCTCCTTGCCTTGCGAGTGCCGCTTGCGGCTCGCGCCGTTATCTAGTGTCGCACAGGGAAGCGTGCTCGCTGCGGCGGGCTTTTCCAGAAACCGCACTATAACTGGTATTTCCCTTCGCGCGCCTGCATTTTAAGCGGTATGTAATTACATGGAGTTCTATGGGAGGCGAACCGGTGGTTTAAAAAGCCGCGTTATACCCGGTCCTGCACTATAAGCGGTTACGTTGTAAGTGGTCTATACTGTATGTACGAAAAGACGGGAAACATGCAAGGAGCAACGACTGGAAACAAAAGAAAATTAGGGAGTTCCAGTGGGCAAGAAAAATATATACTAAAAATGCACCCCGAGAATGAGTGATGCTAACCAGGTTGGCTCTTATCACCGTTACCTTCTTCACAGGGTGCCATTCTATGGACATCTGTCTTACAAATAATGCAGCCAGATTCTTCCTACATTCCCAAAATTAGATCTATGCTGCAGCTCAGTGAGGAATCTGAGGAAACTCTTACCTGTGCACGAAGTGCATGTCTTCGAGGTACTTGCAACCTTTCGCAACGTCTACGCAGATGCTCAGAAGATCGTTCAGAGAAAGAGGGCCGCGATCACCCTGGAAAAAAGTAATGGCATAGCCCAAACAAACTCACTGAATCGATCTATGAATCCATACTAAAGTAACTAATAAAACTCTTAAGTCGTGACACCAACAATTTCTAGAAGAGTGAGCAGGGATCAAAAATGAAACTCGTTGGATGAATAATACACGAAAATCTATGACAACAATTTTGTAAACGAATCTTTCAAAATTTCAAATTTCTTTATTTAAAACAGTAGAATTACAATATTAAAGGAAAAAAAAAAACTTTCAGCACTTTGGTGAAGAAGGAAGACCAGCGAAGCTGTACTATGGTGGGACGACCTCAAGGACGGCGCCTAAAGGACGACGTCTAGGATGACATCTAGAACGACCTCAAGGACGACTTCTAGGATGACGCCTAGAGGAATTCAGCAGTTCCACTCTGGTGAAAACCAGAGTGGAAAGGCTGGAAAGGTTGCCGCCATCTACGAGCGACCAAGGGCAATCAGACAACCGGCAAGCTGGTTGTCTGGTTGCCGACATCGCTCATAGATGAGGGTAGCTGTACAAAGTTTTGCGTCGAGAATTGTTTGCCCACAGACACGAAAATGGGGAAACTAGCCCTTAACAGCTCTGCCGTAAAAAGCTAGCGACCTGTCAAACTTCCTAGAGTGAGACACGAAGAGCTTTCATTGCTTACAACTGATGGTCGACTGTTCCTGAGGTAAGAGAGCAGGTCCCCTCCTTCCATAAGCTCCAAGATGATGAAGTAGAGGCTGTTATCTAGAGAGATTCCCAGCAGTCGCAGAATATGTTCATGCTTGAAATTGCTGCAAAGAAAGTGGTGCCGTGTGTCACACTTTCTCATTCTACAGCTCTTACCTGAACTAGATCTAGCAGAATGGTTCTGAAGCCTAGGAACAAAAAAAACGCTTCACAAAATTAAGAACTTTGTGGTTTAAAAAAACTTAGCCACCTCGCAGTTCTCTGCAAAGTAATGAAGTAGAAATGCTATGGGAATTTCTTAGTATTCCCCTTAGGCATGCTATGAAATGTTATATTTTACAATCCCCTGTTTGAAAATTCACTCCCCAGAGAATGATTAAATAACAAAGTCTTAGGCACCAGGTTAAGAGCTTAGTCTAAACCCGAAAATTCCAAGCATATGAAATGGAAAACCAATGTTCCTAAAAAATCTTAAGATTTCCCCTGGCCAGCAAACACTTCACTGATGTTTAACCTGTAACAGGGGCTCCGGAAGTACATATGATGTGTGGAGGCAACGTCTAGGGGCTCATGTCGCATTGTGTAATTCACCCCTCTCTCTCTCTCTATATGTATATATACATACAGAGAGAGAGACTGGAGCAGTGAAGCAAAGTACTGCATCGTGACACTAACGAGTGCCGACAGGGAGCGCTTCAGTAGTCGCAGCGCAGCAAAGGCTCCAACGTGGTATAGCCTGGTGTTGGAACTTTCCACACATGGCTTGTCTTTCGCGTCAGACTAGCCTGTGGCGCCTCGTCGCCTATGGAGTGCAGCTTCAACATGCAACAGTGTCACAGGTGGTGGAAGGGGAGAAGATGTGGGGGGTCAGAACAACTTTGAATGTGAGGACATGCCCCCACTGGTTAAGAACTTGTGGGGGTGACAGCCACCACTTCCCCTTCCCCCCCCCCGATTCCGGAGCCCCTGACTTGTAAACATGTTTCCTCTGCCTTTCCAGATAATCAAAACATGATGCATTCAAATCTTCCTTAACTATCTCCATCTAACTCCCATGCATACCTCATCAACTTGGCTTCCTTCAGAAATTCAGCTTTTTCCTGGTCAGTGGCTCCTTTACGGAGAGTCTAGAAAGGACAGAAGTAAAAAAAGTTTGCAACTTCCTCTCAATAGTTATGCAAACTAGTATGCTAGGAAGAAATCATACCTTCACGGCGACCTTAGTGGGCGGCAAACCTTCGCCACCGAGATCCTGCGCGATTCCTTCGAAGACCTCCCCAAAAGCTCCGCTGCCCAGAAACTTTGTCAGTATGATCTGATCCTTTTCAATAAGGGGCAGGGAAGCAAGATCCTCATCCGAAGGTAAATCCCTGCAGAGCAAAAGTAATATGCATGTGTCAGATCATGCATTATAGTTTGCTTGTGCAAGAATCCACATGACTATTCTCTGTTTCACCCTGTATTAAACTGCAGAAGATGCTACGAACCACTGAAGCCAATTCGATGCCATGTAAATGTCATGGCTTCGGAGAGGGGTGCAGCAACGTGCGAGGACCCTGTCGTAAAAGTCCGTAGGAACGCCCACCCAAAATGAACAAATAAATGGTGAAAAACATGGGGTGGGCTATCTTTGGAGATGCCAGAGTAAAACTTTATCAAAAATAAATGATAAACACCTGGGCACCTGCTACAAACCATGTGACACAGGGAATGATACCGCAGATCGCGGACACGGCAAATTTGTGTTTCACGATGCGATAAACACATGATAATTAGCTACGAACTCCTCTGTCATGGGAAAAGGATGCCGCAGGTTGCAGACACAGCAGATTTGCGTTTCACGGTGCAAAGGACCCATGGAAACCCATCAAGAACTCACAGCTCACGGGAACAGATACCGTAGATCGCGGACGCAGCTAATTCAACTTTCATGGTTGAATCCAACTCGCTACAAACTTGTCTGCCCCGGAAACCAATATTGTGCGCGGAGATCGCAAAGGAAAACGCGACAACCCGCTATGAACTTGCTTGTCAAACGTACCGGTACCGCAGATCGCGTGGTTGATCCGATTCTTGTTGGGCATTGCATGACGTCCGATGGGAATCGGGGTGGGCGATGTTTCAGAATTTTTATGTTACAGATATTTAGCCAGAAAAATGGGATGGGCGACCTCTCGAGGGAAAGTGTCCTTGCAAGGATTTTACGGTAGTCCCGTGATACTTTTACAGCACTGAATTGGCTAGGGTGCTTGTAGCGTCTACCTGTGGTCTAACGTTAGGTGAAGCAGAGTATACCAGTGACAGCTATGATACTTGCCCCAAAGCATACAGTGCATTGTTTTGTTGAATAAAGTTGCCATGATGAGGCAGTTCACTGAGGGTCGCGAGCTCCAGGTCAGGACGTAGGTCGCGGCCATTGTCCTGAAGCACCTTCTTTTCATTTGCTCTTCTTTTGTGAACTGGGGAGGGAGAAAGTTGTACATTTCTACATCTTCATAGCACCCACATCACAAAGCAGAATACTACTATCACCAGCCCAAATAACAAAGCAGAACCTGTCTACTACACCCCTCTTTCGTTTTCGTACCCTTAGTCACCAGCACGCTCAACCACAAAAAAAGAACTGTTAAAATGCTTACACATAAATGGCATCTACCTTTACGAACTATGTTGTCAAACTAACATAGTTTCTATAGTGCAGCAGCCCTGAACTACTACAAGGGTATGCCAATTGCATCTATCATCTCATTCCCACATGTTTTCGCACAAAGGAGGAGCTAGAGGAAGTCACTTGCTCATGAATGTAGTAGCTCTAAAAACTGCAGAAACTATGATAGCCTTAAGAATGCAGTACAAAGTTAAAAAAACTATAATGGGTATAGGGTCACTTGAAATTCCCCATAGCTCAGACTCACCTATGTACAATGATGCCAAGATAACACCAGCAAAGAGGAAGACTCCCAAGACGGAGAACACAATGATGGTTTTCAGTGGATCATTCTCGACACCTAGAATCGCTGAAACGACAAACCACAAGTTGTACTTTGAGCAATATATATACTAGGGTAGTAATGAAGTGAGTAGCATTTAGCTTATTACAAAACCCGAGTGCAGTGGATGCATCAAAATAAAAAAGGAAACTGCATGAGCTTGACAGCCTGGCAAGATACCCCAAGATTAATAACGGGTTGTCACATTTTTATTGCACGAATGAAATCACAACGAAGATGCTTATGCAACAGCCTTTCTCTAACAGTGACTGAAAATATACATGAAACATTAATTTATGCAGTATCTACATCTGCACTCACTCAAAATAGCTAGAGGGCAATGTTATTCCCAGAGTTTAGACACACATGTCAGGGATCGGCCACATCCCTGCAGTACACAGGTGCCTCAAAGGAAAAGTTTCTAATACAATCTCGAGCAACAGCTTGAGCGAGCGAACCTTTTGATACTCCGTGCACGGGCTAAAAATGTGATGTCACGACGCATTCTTCACACTCGATTGGATCGGCGGATGATTAAACATGCATAAAAACACAGAGAATGCCATGACCTCGCACTTTCCGAGGCGCTTGATTGGCCCCACTGGCTCGTAGCATAGGTAGCACTTGGACATAAGAAGAAACAGAGTGTATGTAGTCTTAAATAGCAAACAAAACAGGTAGGCAGAGCAGATTACCTCCAGCTTCAGGCAGCAGGAAGAGTTCGCTGGCGGCGCTGAACTGTCCTTCTCCATATTCATTCATGGCCCGAACCCTGAAGACGTACTGGTTCTGCGATGGAAGATTCCGGATGATCCAGTGGTTGTTCGTGCTGTTGTAGGCCGTGATCCAGTCTGACTCCTGCCGCACACTCTGGGTGCTACCGTCATCTTGCTGCTCGATGACCTCACTCACAGTCCTGAAAAGCAAGACAAGATGATAATAACTTAGAGGCAAATTTATTTATCTATACTACACCTAACATTCAAGACTGCCTCAAGCAGGGTTATGCAAAAGGTATAAAACACTCATTGTAATTCAGATTAAAACAAAATACTACCAAATTTAAAGCAAAATTAGTATAGTCACGTCCTGTTAATACGGACGCCTCAGTTCCCAAGAAAAATAGTCTGTAGTGCAAGTCGTCCCTAATAAGGAATCAACGCGTGACAGCTCCTGCCAAAAGTAGGGGGGCAAGAGAGCATAGGTGGCTTTTACCTCTGGATGTTACATGACGCCCCCAGAGGTGTAGCCAAGTGTGGAGGGACACGCCCCTACGATGACCAAAACCAAGAGACGCTATTGGACGGAAAGGAGGGCTGACTAACTGCCGTTTTGGCCTCCAGAAGCTTCCTGCCCCCATGCCCTCAACACTACAGCAACGAAAAACGTCCCAGAACGGGAGCATTGCTGCGCAGAGACGCACACTCACCTGACTTGTAGCTCGTAGACAAGGACCTCTCCCCCGTTGCGCGGCACCTCCTCCCACTCGACCTGGTAGAGGTCTCGGCCGAGGTTGACCACGCCGGGGCTCTTGGTCCGGTCGGGACTGTCGCCCAGCGTCTGGAACGCAAAGTGCCCGGAGCGGGGCCACGGAAAGGTGTCGTTCAGCGAGCTCCTGTACGTCAGCACCATCCGTAGCGAGTAGTCCGTCTTCGGCAGGAGCTTGCGCAGTGGGTATATGTAGGTCCGGTTGGGCTCCGTGGCTTCGCTGGTAAAGTAGCGCCACTCCGACGTGCTGGGCTGAATGCATAGAGTTAAAAAAAGCAGTGTTATCAGCATTTGTTGAGCCTAGGTACGAACCACACGTGCGAGTGCGGGAGAGGAGCTGCTGCCCGCATTGCTACTTCAACCCTGTGAGCTTAGAATTACACTGTATGGCAATAGCAACGTGTAAGGCTAAGAGCTCTACAATAGGCAAGGCAGTGTGTCTCTCCTTTCATTATTAATGTGTCAGCATTAGTACCCCCTTGACAGCAAAAGGCTTATGCCATCCGTCTGCGGATAAACCAGTGGAAAGGGAAGCATGCCGTGTTGAGAGGAGGTGAGTAGTGAAGGACAAAGGTGAGATGGAGGCAACTTCATGAAGCAGAAGCCAGTGCGCACATGGAAAACCGGAGAACAGTGAAAACAGCGTCGAGCAGCGGATGCCACTACTAAACGTGCAAGGCGTGTGATTGAGACAGAGGAGCGGAAGCAGCGCCTAGCTCGGCTGGCCAAAATGCGGCGCAAGAAGCGGCAAGCCGACGTGGGTCTGCATGCAACAGAGGCTGGGGCTCAGCCAGCAAGCCCTTTTGCCGGAAAATATTACAAGAAGATCCATTGGTGGATACTTAGGGAATGCGTTAGCATGACCCTTGGGAAACACCACACATGTCCCTTTTTGGGGAACGCTAACAGTGATTCCATAACGAAGCCAAAAAGAGGGCAGCAAAAAATAGAGGAAGCAAAAGAGAAAGCCAAATCAGAAAAGTGAAGAGGTCAGCGTTAGCATCGTCCAAAGGGGGATATGAGTGGCGTTTCTCAAGAGTCATGCTAATGCATTTTTTCGAATTTATCAAGAACACAATTTGGTAATCTATATTTTGCAAGTATTTGCAGACAGTTCATAAACTATAGCAAGAAAACTACTGCAAACAATGTTGCCCGATTTCAAAATATGTACTTAATTTGCACTTTGGAGCACATTCACTTCAGGTGGGAAGTGTGCAGAATTTATTGGAAACCATATTCCTTAATAAAGTGTGTGCATGCATTTAAACTTGCTTTGTGCAAACAAAGGAAGTGTCAAGTTCTAGGTTCCATGCCTGTAACATAGAAAATTTGACAGCAACATCTCTCGATGACTGTGCAAAGAAAACTAAGATAACAACTTCGTGGATACCAAAGCCAAAAGTACAAAAAAGATGATGATCTAATTACGACTTTTCAGGTTAATATGACATATAAATGACAAGCAATATAATCACAGCACACAACTACAGTAGACTCTCTTTAATTTAAACTCCAGGAAGCAGTGACGTCACAAGGATGGGGCGGAGGGAGGGGGGGGGGGGGGGGGGGGGAACGGATTGCTCAGAGTGCAGCGCTCAGGAGGGTGCAGCTGGGCAGTGAAAGAGAAGGGGAAGGGCAGGGGTGAGGGGGATGTCACGAAATATGATATTACAAGATAAAATTATGATTTGGCCATATGAAGGGCTACACATGCAAAGCAACTATTTTATGATTCCTCGACATAGGCCTATTGATCATAAGCAGGTATGCAAACATAAAACATTTGTTAAATGTATGGCACAAGTTAATTTATCTCTCAAAAATGTTGTTTATCGTGGACTGTTTAGACAGCAAGTGACAACTCAAAACAGAATTAAGTTTGTTCATCAGGCCAAGAAGTGTCTAATATGGACTGTTAGGACGGGGACACATCAGTGATGAAAACGGGCACAGCGCGGCAGCTTTCATAGCAGCTTGTGCAAACAGTGTGACGTGGACATATGTCATGCCACCAAGTGACAGCATTCGCGCAAGTTGCTATGGAAATTTCCACGAGGTGCCCGTTTTCGTAGCCCGTGTGTGCCCTGTGCACTGCAGAGAAGCAACAACCGCAAAAGCAAGCTCGGTGGGTGTTGCCTCTCTGCAGTGCACCGGTGCTCGGAAAGAAGCACACTCAAAAGGGCCGCAAGAACAAAAAGTATGAATTACACGAAAACGCCCTTGAATTAAGCAGCTAATGAATACATTGAAACATTGCGGGATAAAAATTTTGAAATTAGTCTGCACTAACCAGAGCTATGAAATATCCGAGTTTGAATTACTGCGAGCCAACTGTACTTACCTTCAGGTACTCCACTCTGTGACTCAGAATGACGTGGCTCCCAGGAGCCGTCCAGGTAAGGTCAATCTCTCGCGACGTTGATCGTGCGAGAGTGAGGTTGTTTGGAAGCTCGTACGTCGACACAGACCTCGTTTCGCTGTCGCTGTGCATGTCCCCTCCCCGGGAGTAAGCCCGTACCTGAGAAAAGAGAATGAAATCATTACAGCCCTCATGCTGATATTAATTCCCATACGTCATTCCTGAAAATATTCAATGGCAATTCCAGAACTTCTCCAAGCATCCATAACTTTTCAGACTGAGTAGCCGGTATCCATTTCTCAGGCTTAAAGGGGTACTCCTGCGATTTTTGAGCTACCTCAACTAACTATATTTTCTGACTCCCCGGCCTTTACCCTTTCCGGTATGCTATTTAGTATCGCAAAATTCATAATAGTTATTGCGAAATCGGCAAATGAAGTTGATGCAAAAACCAACATTCAAATATACCCGCACTTTTCAGTGCTGTGACGTCAGTGGAAGGCAAGCTTGCCAGCCGAGCGAGCAGTCTAAAAAATAGAATCAAGGAGTGAGCTTTCAAAGCATTCATTTGACACCATGAAACTGCTTCGAATCAGTTGGGAACAAATTCTACAGTCAAAAGAGTGAACCCCGGCACTTCCAATGACGTCTCTTTTTCGTTGTTGCAAGTAGAGACTTTCAGTTTGAAAAACACGGCGAGGACCAAAATTGTAAATTCAATAACTTTGTGAAAAAAAGTTATTTTGACCTAATATTTGGGATACTATTTTGGCGATGTTGTTTGGCGAGTTTAGCAAAATTTCAAGCAAATCGGGGACCATGAAGAAATCGCCGGAGTACCCCTAAGCGTGAAGGCATTCCGATACATATACAAAAAACCTAAATTTCTATTCTTGCTCACTTTGCTTGCACCTGTTCTAACTTGCCAACTCCAGTTTCTTCAAGAAGTGGACAATTTTAACAGCACATTAGTAAGTTCAACTTATGATGAAAACTATTTAAAAAAAAACAAATATGACATGCACAAATCACACGAATGACAAGATGTTTGGCTGGTGGTTGCAATGCCAACGACCACAAGTTTAGGTGTAAATCGAAAAAATTCCCCTATAACACTTTACTCAAATTCACCTACAATCCTTGACTTTATCTGTGCCTGCTTGTATCTGAGCTAGTTGGTGATTCATGCTTCTGGAAGATGCCAGCTGAACTTAGGAAAATACACGGAGAGAGATAAAAAATAAAAGGGCAAACAGTCAAACACAGAAAACAGTTTCCGTCAGCTGTGGGCACATAGCTCTCTACACCTGGGTGCACGCGCCCGCCTTTGCCTCAGACCACTGACAACCTTGGCGATTTCACCAAAAGTCTTTCGCATGCTCTTCTGCACCTGTAGTCACATCGTTCCTTTCATTTTCAAATTTATTCAATTTTCATTTCTAATCTAAACTTCATCCTTCTTCATTTATAATTGTATTTCCTTGTGTACTCAAAAGGTTGGCTAGTATGCACCCCTGCCTACGGGTTATAGACCTATATCTGCTAGTCATGCATGCCTCCTGCATTTCCCCCTTTCATTTTATACAAATAGAAGATTGATTGATTGATCGATTGATTGATTGATTGATTGGTTGGTTGGTTGGACTAGTAACAATTTACTGAAGGTAAACCTCTTCTTCTTCCACACACATTAGTTTCAAGATATGAAACTTCCTCTTCAATGGCTGTCTTATCATTATCTTTGTATTTCTATACTAAGGAGGTACCTTCTTCTTCATTCACCTCCTGGATCATTGGTCTACATTTTCCTTCTTCAGGTTTTGTTTCCCACATGGGGTGCTGTTCACAGGTATCCATCTTTTCTTTAGGATGTAGAACAATGGAAGCAGTGCTCACGCATTCGTCCTTCTTCGCGTGAATTGTCAAGGCCTCCAGAATTTATCTCCCGAGAAGTTTTCAATGTCTTACCATGATGTTAATGTGTTGGAAATCGGGAGCACATGGCACGCCCTACAGTGCCCTGAAAGATGACCTGCTGCTGCTAGTGCGTTCACTAAACTGCGTGTTCCCTGGTGCGGTCATTAATACATCTGCAGCCTATGTAATATTTTCCACACGGCAGTAAAATACCGTACAAGAATTTCTTTTCATACAAGGCTTAATGTGTCCCATGTGCGGTGCTGCAGGTGTTTGTTTTGTGGTTGTCGGCCTCACAGTTCACCCTATGGCACATGGCATAGGTCTTTTTGAGGGACGAGTAGGCCACATGAACTCCTTGACAGTCAGCAACCTTTTCTAGGCAATGTGTGAACTTGTTGATGTAGTTCACCACCACTGGGGGTTTAGGAGGCTTCTTTTTTGTTGTTTGTGCTGCTGTCTCCGGTTCGCGCCGTACATTCTTCCAGATGCTTTCACACACTGGTGTCTGGAGTGTGCTCGTGCATCCAGAATCTTGAAGCCGAGAGAGCCTCACTTTAAAACTGCACCCCATTTTGTGGGGGCAAGGCCTTTTTGGTGTCAAGACAAGAGCTGCGGTGGCTATTCCTCGTTTCACATTTTTTTAATGTTCGGGGTTATACGGAAGGAATCCTTCACAAGGAAATTGCTTCATACATCCAGCACACATGGTTTGCTGTAAACTCCAAGGAGAGGTCTAGAAAGCGTATGCGTTGGTTCACAAGAAGTTTGTGAATAAAAAAAAGTCTCGGGCAGCTTGGTTCGAAGCTTGAGATTATGATATCCAGGCACCTGCGAATCTGCTCATCTACGGCGAACTTACACAGGATGAAGATGGCCTCGATGCATAGGTCTTTCATGTTTGCTTGGATAGCCGTCCCGCATGCAACAGGCCATCTTCCGGGACGCTGTCGGGTGTGCCAATGTGCTCCTGATTTCCACCATATCAACATTGTGGAAAGACACAGAAAACAGCTCATAAGAGAAATTCTAGAGGCCTCGGCCATTAACACAAAAAAGGACAGATGCGGGAGTGCTGCTTTCGTCGCGCTGAATCCCGAAGAAAAGATGTATACCTGCGAGGAGCACCCCATGCGGGAAACAATACCTAAAGAACGGAAACAATGACCACGATCCAGAAGGCCGACGAAGGAGGAGGTACCTTCGGAGTATCGAAATACAAAAATGATGATAAGATAGCCGACAAGGAAGGAAGTTTCATATCTCAGAACTAACAGGTGTGGAAGAAGAGGTTTGTCTTCAATAAATGGTTGCTAGTCCAGCAGTGTGTCCTTTTTTCTGTCTCTCTCTCTCTTCCTGCATCTTCCTACGTTCAGCTGACATCTTTCCGAAGTTTATATGAGCCTCTGGTTTTGAGTTTGTCTGATCCCACACTATACCACTCACACATCATACTCATAAAAAATATTAAGCAGCCCTGTGTTAATCCAAAGTATGGTCAAAGCGACAGCTGCGACAAGTTGTGGCAAAGTCGTTGGGAGCTGGCGTCGCGCTCATGGACCGTTAGGTGCGTGAACAGAAGCGCCCAGGAAAAGAATGTCTGACCATTTTGTTTCGAATGATTTTGTTTCTTCTTTGTTCCGGAGTGCATGAAAGCGCGTCTCCTGGCACAAGCAGTTGGCGCTGACAGTGCTACGACGGCGTTTTGTTATCGGCTATTTCTTCTTATTTTTTTCAGGCAGCGCATGCAGCGGACACTGGGTACTACAAAAACTATAAAACAGATTGTTAATGCTGTGGCATAGCTCTGTGGTAACGCCTTCACTTCGCACGCAGCAGACCCAGGTTCAATTCCCGTGGGCGGCAGGTAATCTTTTTGAGGGATCTGGCAACATTAACGACGGACGCCCTACAACGCCAATCACAACATCAACAGCGAAAGCCATTGCAAGTGGTGTAAAAAGCCCATAAGAGCTATGGCTGTAAAACATTTGAAATCTCGTGTATAACTTGTTATGTGTGTGTTATTACACTTAAGGCTCATTCACATAGCTGCGTCGACTGTGTTGCGTCGTGCAACACAGCACCTCCCCGTTGGCTCGTCGCAAGGGTCGCCATAGCAGCAGTTCGACGCAAGCAGTCTTAACGCAGTCAAACGCAACCGTGTAAACGATCCTTTACAGTCAACTACTAATACTCTACTACAGATGCGTTGTGTATGTCAGCAGGGTTCAATTTGCTGGCTGCCAGGCACTGCCAGTCAAGCCCAACGTGGCTTTGGCAGGCCCGTCTCTGTACATGTTTCTTTGCAAGTAATAAAATACTGAATGAATGAATAAAAGTTGGTCATAAGCGGGTTCAGCTGGCTATTCAAAGCTTTATCGCCTCACCAGAATGTGATATTCCACTCCGGGTGCCATGTCCTTGAGTAGCATCCTGTAGCTCAAACTCTTCTCTTCAGAAGAGTATAGGTAGGACATGGAGTGCCACTTGTTCTTCGCGTTTTCTTGAAACCAGCGGATCTCGTAGGATATCGGGTGGCCATTGGGCTTGATGGGCGGCCGCCACTGAACCGCAATCCTTGTTGGAGTCACAGGCTCCACTTGAACCATGATTGGCTCACTGGGGACTGCAAATTAATTGAGAAAAAGATCAGTTAGGTTCGGTTGACAAGACTGTGAGCCAGTGGCCTGGTCAGTTATTTTTTGCAGTGGGGGCTGAGATGTCCATCACTTCAGGAGCGGAGGCAGGGGTCATGCACGCATATAGGGTCTGCTGCATTTTAACGCGACAGCGTTAACGATTTAGTGTCGCAGAAAATCCGGTGTCGGCGTCAGAGTCTGTGGGACGGAAAAATCCTGATTGGTCGATAGGGTCATAACGTCACAGCCACATGACCATGCGCCGAAATTTCCAACAACCCACAACGCTCACTTGAAACGCGACGTCACGTGTGGAATGAAAGTGATTGAAACGTGGCATTTAAAGCAAACTAGAGGTTGCCACATGTCTCAAATTATTTCACTTTATAAAGTAGTTCATTTGCCTTAAAGAAAAAATTTAACCCCTGAAGTGCCTTGGACGAGCTGGGCTCGTCGGCCACCTTCTGGTTAAAAATGCCGTGGACGAGCTCAGCTCGTCCAGTGGTTTTTTCAGTAGCCCTGCTCGGCTCGTCCGAATAGTTTTGCGGCGCTGATCATAGATGGCAGCATTCGTTTTAGATGGCAAATATTTTTTTCGCCTCCGCTGATTTTTGCCTAATAAACTTTTCAAATTTTATGTGTAATACTAGAGGAATAACAATTCAAAATAAAAAAAAATATGGCACTTTTAGGTTACTTTTGGAAAAAAAATTTGCCACTTAAGGGGTTAAAGAATATTAGACAGAGGTGGGATTCGAACCCACGCCCCTTCCGTTGCAAGCCGACACACTACCGATTAGGCCACACAGACACGCTTGCACAACTAGGGAATGAGCGGGGGTCTATATATTTAGCTATTGCGTTCCACTCTTAAAGGCGAAGCTTAAGCATCCTCCTGTAATTTCGGAGGGGCTTGAGCCTTAACCCCCCTTCTGGCTGTGCCACTGTTGCAAGTCACTTGTGAGATTGGGCAATGACATCTTATGATATAGCTGCATACTAAATAAGTTCTAGAAACTTTTATTGTTTGCATTCAACAACCTGATGAGTCACCATTTACATCTGCAAATTACAAAATAAAAACTGCAGAGAATACTGACATGCCAAATTTTAGGAACCGATGTTGAACTCGGTATCTAGGTTATACTACCACATCATCCACACTTTAATCAAGTGCCTTCGCAGCACTGGATGAATATACCTTTTCTATGAGTAAATGTGAGAAACCCTCTGAAGCATCGACCTGGCTTTAGCTATGTTTCCTTTTTAATTTGTTTATGCATTTAAGTTACCAATAGAAAAAAACGAAAATAAATGGCACAGCTACTACTTCTATCAACTTCAAACAAGTTAAATTACCATCTGTCCATTTGAATGGATAAAAACTAGGGGTGTGCGAATATTCGAAATTTCGAATACTTCGCGAATAATGCTTGCTATTCGATTCGATCCGCTTCGCCTTTTCGCTGTTCGAACTATTCGAGTTCTTCGAATACTTCGAAAACTACGAATAACGCGGAACTCATTGATTAGTGTCAACTTGCGGTCGAGTTCTCTGTTTTGTTTTTGGACTGCGCAGTATGGTTTCAAGCTTGGCAAACCTACACAACCAACCTAAGTGTCTTTTTTTTTTGTATGAAGGATTGGAAATATTTGCACGCGGTAGCGCGATCTGTCCTTTGCTTGCCGTGATGTCCGGATTGCAGAGCTGGCTAAGTGGTCGTGGCGCAAACGCTGCGATAGACAGGATGAAGGACTACGATTTGCAATGGCACATGCATCATTGCGACGGACCACACGACGTTTCGGGCGTCCGCCCGAGACGTCTTGTATATGTTTCTGTCCACATTCATTTTTAATGTAGCACAACCATATATTCGTCATTTCGTACCTACAGTGACTACAGTAGCCAAGGTGCTATGGATTCGGATATGGATTTATGGCTCACCTCGGCTATCGGTGATATTTGGCTTGTGCTATTTTCCGCTTGATTTTCCGGTTCATCAGTTTGCCAGTACTCCTTTTGTTATTTATTTCTACCCGTTCTCACTGGTAAAAGTGAGACTTTCCCCCCCCCCCCCCCCGGGCAAAAAAAAAAAAACATTCTTAATTTATTGCATCTTTGTGGCGCCCTCTATGGACAGAACTATTGCACACGGAAAGAGATGGTGGATAGTCAGTGCGGTTGCGCAGTGCAATCGTGCAATCTGAAACTCTGCTGTGGCCTGTCGACCCGCCTCCGCTTGTGTACTTCCGTTTACGTTCACGTGGTTGCGTTCACGAGCGTAAAAAGAGATCGCACAAAGTAGAGACAGTGGGGTGAAGCTCTCGGCTACTTCCGTCCGGCCGCGTATACTTATGACGTTCGTTCGGTCCGGCAAACTGCTTCCGATTGCCGCGCTCCCAGCGGGTGTTGGCACTTAATATTTTGTTTTAAATAAATATGATTCATATATTTAATGAAGCGAAATAAAAGTGAAGTTGTTTTGAAGGTGTGAATGGCTTTGAAGCTTGTTATCGTAACTTTCTCTTTCACTCTTTCAACGTGTCTGGGCGCGCTTTCTCTCTCTCCGAACCCGCACCTCTCGCCTCGAGATGCGCTGGCCGCTGGCGCCGGGAAGTCGGTGGACCGTTAGAACGCGCGAGGGACGCGAGTCGGAGGGAGAGCTGTTTGCTTCTGGGAGTGCGTCGCGGCGCAAGATTCGTGCCGCGTTCGTGCGCGCGCGGCTTTCTTTTCTTTTTTGTGGGAACTCGTTGTTTTTGTAATGTGGTCAAGCATGGATTTTCGTCATCGCCACACCACCTGATGTGCCAAGTGGGGAAACAATGACTGTCGAAAGCCGGGATATCAATGGTTTCGAGTTCCAATGGACGTGCGGTACGCTCTTTTGGTCTTCTCTTGCTTAAGTTTCTGATTAGATGTTTGCAACAAAACCTAACTGTCGCAGTGGTAGTGAGTATTAATTGTTTGATTTGGGCAATAGCTACGATGGTTTCCAATCACAAAACCAAATCCTATCATTGTTCAGGGTTGCTCGTCACTCGCCGCGAGAAATATGTCATTGTCAAATTACTGGAGACTTCTGTGTCATATCAAGATCGAGCACATATGCTCACTTTAAAAGATGGGAATCTTTTTGCTGTGAGCTGTTTATTTGGCATTGTTGTCAGCGATTCACGCGTCTGTTCGCGAGGAGTGAAAATGAGCCTAAATATTTTTCGATTAACTGAGCGATGGAGCGATCCGCTCTGGTTTCCCGTTTCGTTTAGCAGTGACGCACTCCTAAATTTAAGTGATAATATTAAAAACGAATGCAGGTTCCCGATGAAGACTCAATACCAAAGAGCTGAGCTGTTTTTCTTGACCTCATTGCTTAGTATCCTTTAGTTGCAAGACACCGTCGCCGGTCTTTACTTATATGCTTACTTATATAATCAAATTCGAAATGATTGTCAATTTGGCGTGGAGTCATTTAAGTCAAGGAGAAGAAAAATAGAGGAAACACAAGTTTTTAGTGTCGCAGTGTTGAACTCCAAGTACCGTTTTTCGAAAGGAGGCGCAGAAAATGCTCGCTGTTTTCGTATGACCCTATCAGGCACGTAATGACCAATCAAGCAATTCAACTTTTTTTTCTAGGCTCCACGCCTGTGGCTGGACGGCGTAAGGCTTGTGAGTACACGCCAAGAAGCTCGAAAAGGATCACGAACCTAGAGATTTTATGTAAATTTAGCGAAGTGTTTTTGCAAGGACGCATATCACTTTCGTCGCACGTAACCTTAACGTTTTATCCTGTTTTGTTGTTCATTTCTTTGATTCTTGTGTGCAAAATAGTGAGAAATTTCGTCTGTATTTTCTACTGTCTTTTGAATAAAAATGAACGCAAAAGGACAAGCATTGCATATTTTTTGTGTATGTGTCACTTTCGTTGCTTTGCTAGGCTTCTGCTGCTTTGCTGCTGGTCTCGCTTTTCAGTGCTGGCTTGTGTGCGTTTCAACGCACATTACCCAGCACTGAAATGCGAAAACCAGCCGCAAAGCAGCAGAAGCCTAGCAAAGCAACGCGCAAACCAAGCAAAAAAAAAAAAAAAGCTACAATATATATATATTTTTAAATCTAGGTGGCGCAAGCTACCGCCCATCCATCCAAACACAATGGCGCTGCCGTGCAGTTTCGGTTTTGGTTTCGCTGTGCCGCCATGTTGATTTTAGTACAGCCACCAGATACCAGGGGATTCAAATGGCGCTGCGGCCTCCCAGGGTTTCCCAATTTGCGTTCCATGGGCGGTATAGGAAGTTGCACTCCTCTGGTAGAGACGCAATCATCGACTTTGTATTGCGGCTTGCGGACCCCCCCCGCTTGTGTACTTGCATTTACGCTCAAGTGCCTCCTTTCGTCCGCGATGCGATCTCCGACTGCGTTGTGGCTTGCCGACCCGCCTTCACTTTTGCACTTTCATTTACGTTCTCCAACCTCACTCAAGGAATGGTGTTTTACTGACTGATCTTTTTTTCATCTGTTTTTTTTAACAGTCACATGTGTGACATTTTTCTTATTGCAATAAAAGTAACCTTTTCATAAACGTTTGTTGAAAAAAAATTCCAGTTGTGTTTTTATTAAGCATTCTTGTTTAATTCACATCAAATAGAAAATATTTGTTTTCCAATATCTCCTTATTTGAAACTACTATTCGTATTCGAAAATATTCGATTCGATTCGATTCGTAACCTTTATTATTCGATTCGATTCGCTTCGAAAGATTTTGATATTCGCACACCTCTAATAAAAACTATGGAGTAGATATGATTCAGAGTAACAACACAAGACATGATTCAGAGTAACAACATATACTACGTGCTTTTATGGCATGTTTTGTTACATTGTCACTAAGACCAACGGAAAGAAGTGGAGAACAGAGACTTGGACAAGTGTGTTGTTATACAGAAGCTTTCTGATTCTCCCTTACCTCCTTCCAAGGTCTGGAACACAGCATCGGGACCCGGGATCGACATTCCAATGCTGTAGAAGTTGCTCATAGCAACCCTCACAGTGTAGTTTGTGAAAGGCGACAGGTTACTCAGGACAACGGTCGTGTTGTAGGTTTCCTAAAATGTGAAACATAATTTTCGCGGGTCTTAGGAGATTTAATTTGCAGCTTCCGAGGAATCTAACAAAAAATTGACCGTCACGCATAAAATGCTAAATATTAGTATATCTAACAAATGTAACGTGTAACAATAACAGACGTAACACGAGAGAGTGAAGATTGACCCCAACATGCCCTGAAAGGCTGCTTTACAGCCTTTCAGGGCATGTTATCTCAGCGGTGAGATAACAAAAAGCCCGCGCTGCATTAGCACCACTGTCAGCACTGATGCAACACTAAGTATGCACTGCATTCTGTGTGCATGCAGGAAAAGGCAGTGTCACATGCAGTAGAGCACTGATAGAACACTGACAGAGCATGAAGTGAGCACAAGAGTATCCCCACTGAGCACTGCTGAAAATAGTAAAGTATAGTTCAGCAACATAATTTGGCTCAGTTCACCTGAAAACAAGTTCAATCCACTTTAAAAGGTTTAAGGGAGAATAAACAACAAGGATGGACATCTATAGACTCCAAGCATGTCCAAAAATGAAATGCTTTCAGATTCATGTGCAAAGACGTACCAGCGTCCTGCACCCGTGAAGAGACTCGGCACACTGCCACACATTGTCGGGGGTGATGATTCCGTAGAACAAGGTGTACTTGATGGAGGCTAGAGAAATCTTGCTGCACTCCGGAGGCCTGGCGGGCATCATCAACTTGACAACAAGCTCATTGGAGGAAGCCGACAGCAGCGTGGGGGGCACAACGCTATGCGGAGGTGCCAAACAAATGACATCTACAAAACAAAAAGCACAAAGACGCTCTCAGGTACGAAAAAAAGGACCTTGTATTTTTAGTTTTATAAACTGACAGCCGTTACTGTCGAGACCGGTTATATCAAAGTCAACGGGAATCGGAAATCACTTCACTATATCCGCTATTTCCTTACAACCAACTTTGGTTATAACGAAGTGCAAAAGGGAATGGGAAATAGTGATCGCTTCGCTGTAGCCACTGTTTCGTTATAACCGACTACGTTATAACCGGTCTCGACAGTACTATTTCCGAGTTCCCACTTTTTTCCTCTGCCGTGACAACGAGCAAGTCCGCTTAAATCCTGGCAGTAACCACTGATCATCACATTTGCACCTATTCACCCTGTCCCCCATTTTCTGCAAACAAAGATTGTATCCAATTCCCTTAGCCACTGCAAGAAAAAAAAATATTTGTAATCTTGCCAAGAAATACTTTGCAAGTCAGTGCCTAATAGAAAATTGTTGGCAACCTACCTATAAATATGTCTGTTTGCAAAGCTTGTTTGTTACATCAGGTGTTTGTTTTTAAGAAAAAAACAAACCTAAATTTAAAATTAAAAAAAAATCATTTTTTAAATCTGAGGTTTTTGGTTTTAGAAACTAATTATACACCCTTACACTAAATTTGATAACCATATGCCAAATAGTTTTGTTGATATTAAATATTTTCAACAGATTGTGAGGCGGTAACAAAGTAAAAGAGTTCAATGTTTCTGAACTGAAAATTACTGGGGAATCGGGCTATCTACTTTATTTTGTTTTAAGTTGAAGTCCTCATTGAGAAAAACCTTTTTTCAAAAATTGATATAGGATAGATATGCATCTCATATTTAGAGGCAAAAACTCTTCTTGAAATGTTTACATTTGAGTTATCAAAACTAGGTAGCCCAAAGTCCCACATCTCCCACTTTATATATACTCAAGCAGTCAAAATGGTGCTTAATAGCTTCATATTTGCATATGATAGATTTCTTAACGAAGAATGACACATCTTGTGGAGGTATGTAAAATTGTCCTAGAGAGCTGAAAGTTTGCACAATACACATCTGATGTTAAATCTCCCCTGCAAATTTTATACCGATCACTTAAGTAATTAGAAGGTAAATCTCTAGCCAGTGTCCCCCTTAAGTAGACTGACTTGTACACAATGTTTTGGAAATTTGTAGTACTAGTAACTTTGTTACACCAGGGCCTTACTGCCAAAATCTAGCAGCAACAAAGATGTCATATTTGTTTTTCAATAGCACTAACTGATGCTAGTTGGAGGTTAAAAAGCTCAAGGGAAGCGCAGGAATATTTACTTATTTAAGAAAACATAAAAATTGTGTCTTCGTGTTTATCAGTCATATGTTTCATCTTGCATATAATGATCATACTCGTCTTTCTAAGAGTCTAAACAACGCACCAGGATAGGGCTGCAAGTGGTCCCCGATGGCACGGATGCCACGAATGCCGCTGGCTGTCTCCGAGGTGACACGTCTCTTCTGATGCACATAGGAGTCGGAATTCTCGGGAGAAGCATTGGAAACCACCTCCGAGGTTGCCTTGTCAAAGCTGTAGATTTTACCAGCCGATGAGTTGGACCAGTAGATGAACAATTTGTCGGCCGTCAGAGAAGTCGGTGGCAAGCCTTACCACAGAAAAGGGAAAAACGGATGGCATCAAAGGTTAAAAGTAGGACAATGGATGCACAGTCTGTTCACCAAACTTTGAGCAGCAAAATGCAAGAAGACTACCCAGGTGAAAATATGAAGTGGGATTTCAAGTGGTCCCACTTGCTTTCAAGTGGTCCCCCTTGTGACCACTTGGACTGCAAATGGTCCCACTTGTGACCACTTGGATTGCAAGTGGTTTCTGAAGTGGGACCACTTGGGCTACAACTGGTCCAACTTGACTTCAAGTGGTCCCACTTGTGACCACTTGGACTGCAACTGGTTTCTGAACTGGTCCCACTTGCCTTCAAATGGTTCACGGATGAATAGTTCCCTTCAGCTAAAGATGGTGTCCACTCACAATTAAATGGTCTCTGATGTCCAGTTCAGTCCAACTGCCAAGAATTTGACAGTTGACTTTAAGTCATACACTTTGTACTAAAGGTTATTTCCAAAATGCACTTGGAGAGCCAAGTCTATAATTTATTAATACACTTGACTCCTTTCCAGACTAGATAAAGTATCCTAATTATTAAAGAAAAAACAGTGCAGAAACCACACTAGCAGGCAAAACATATAACCTATATTTTGTGGGTCACCTCTGTTGTTCGTCATCACACTTTTGCAGTTTTTATTTTAGTAAGTACCAACTAGACCATGTTAATGACTTGCTACAGTTAACTGAACTGGACTGAGCATAATTATTTTTAATCAAAAACATGCAAGTGGAAGTCAAGCTGATTATGCCTCTCTCAACAAGGTGCAACTACATAAATATTTCTTGAAAACTTCAACTCTGCAGGGTTGTAGATTACTCAGCTGAGGTTGATGCCTCCACTGCTCATTCAGGGAAATTAATGGGATATTCAAAGATGGCAAGAGGGTGTAAACAATTTCAGACTGTTTCACCAGAAGTCTTGTAAAGACCAATGACTACAAGAAAAAAAACTTTTGCACAGGTCAAAACTGGCATATGTATTCAGCTCTGTTAGGAACGTTTTCGGACAATTGCTTGCATATGCACAAGTTAAAAATAATGAGGAGTAAAAATACCAATCAGGATATCAAAAGTAAACTTGGTTTGACAAATTCACAAAATAAAAACAAAACAGAATAGGCAAAGTGAATAGTATCTAACTTACAACAAATATTAATGGGACAATTTTTCAGTTACAGTTGAGCTAACATAGAAAGAGGCGACCTATAAAATGTTTGAATACCAGAACAAAAGTTTCACCAGTTATCCCATTTTATATTTTACAAAGAAATATGAGCATAAAACTTTCAAACAGAGATAAGCACTTGGTGTTTGTAATGTTATAAAAATACAAGAAGCATAATTTTAACCCATCTCTTAGCTGATAGAATTGATTTTACTGCAGAGAAAGATTTTTTTTTTCACAATAACAGTGACAGAAATCCCAGTGGCTACTTGTACAAATCTGTGAGCTACTGCATGATGCTGTCCATGCTAGGCCATACTTAATGGCAATGTCCATGGCAAGGACAAGGGCGTCGCCCACGGACATTGTAGTTCCATTACTGGGGGAGCTCACGAACTTAAAAAAAAAAACGGCGAGCTGGAAGAACTGGAGGAAGTAGCTTCATCCGCGAACGTGGAACCACTGTGTTCGGGACTTGCATTACCACTCGGTTCTGAAACACCACCAGGATCTTCAAAGAGGCTGTCGTCCGGTGCATTGACAAAAGAGGTGTCAGGGTCACCCCAATTCAAGAGGTGGACGAGCATCACCTGAAGATGCAAGCGTCCTTTTCCTTAATTCATACTCTGTTGACCTTGGCAAAGGTTCATCCCAAGCATCGGGCTCGAGGTTGCACTTTCGAGTCTTGGGCCTCATTTTTCTTTTCACAAAGAAAGCACTGGAAAAACGGCATAACCAAATCGAACACGCACAAGTCCAGTCCGTTCACACCAAAGTTGGCTGGATTAGGCACAGTCTTTCAATCTCGCACTTCAGATAGCATCTGTTAAATTTAGACAAACATTAGTTTTCGCCGAATCGAACAATTCGCCTACAAAAGCGTGAAACGTGCTAGGGCAGCTGGGGAAAACGGTGATGGCGATGGAGCTTGCCACCTGCCCTTGAGTCATGTGGGGTAAATTCACCTCGTTGGGTAAATTCTCCATTTTGCGACAAATACAAATTGAATGGATAAACTGGTTATGTCTACATATTCCAGAAAGCTAGATTTACTTTTTGTTTATTTATACTTCAAGTAAAAGTATTTTTTCCCTCGTTTGCCTTCACATTTTTAATGTAATCGCAAGATGGAGAAAAAAAACTTGTCAAATCCGTCACGATCCCGTGAAATCCGTAGCCACAGCCGCTTTCTGGTTCTAGCAGTTCTAGGCCTAGTCTCCTATGTCGACGCGTGGAGAACGCAAATACGTAGTTAAACGTTACGGGAACCACGAAAGCCCGGGCATTAGCTAACGTAAAATGTTCGCGCTGGTCCGTTTTTTTAATGAGTTCGACGGAAAAGTGTATGTGGTGCCCGTTCGGTGCATTAAGGACTTCCATCCGTTAAATGAAAATGACTTTGACAAGAATGGTGTCTACACAACGTACTGGGAAGACCTAGAGAACTCCGAAAATACAGGATCCTACTCTTCGCAGGTGCTGCTTCTCGCAAGTAAGTAATTGCATGTTCGTTCACACAACTCCTTGTATTATAAAGAGCGTGGTGAGCACATGCATGCGGTGCGTCACGTCGGAGAAACGTTTCTGCGCGGAGCTTAGTGGACATTCTCCCAGCTGTAATTAATGTCCGACATAGGGCGTCCATCGTCTACATCGCTGAATGCTTAAAAAAGATTGCAACTGCCTCAACGCTCCGCTATACTGCACTGCAGCTAAAGCTACAAGCGCGAGCTAGCCCGCGCTCCAGGCTACGAGACGTGCAGTTCGCACGTCTCATAGGCCATACAGGGCTACGGCATCTACTTTTATTTCAGCGCAAAAGACGAGGACAAGAAAGGGACACGGTGCGCAGTCCTCGTTTTTTACTTGAAATTGCTGTTATGGATCACTAACTAGCTCAATTGTCAACCCTAGCCGACTTTATTTTCCCGGGCTCAATATTTCGCGAATTTGGCAAGGCGAGCAAGAAATTTGGCGAATCGGGGTGGTATGCTATGTATTTGTCACCACAGAGAAATATGCTTCCGTATTATTCACTTTGCGAAATTCGCAAAAATCGGGTCCTCGCGGAAGGCGGAACTTTTCATTTACAATATATACATTGTAGAGCTTTGGCATAGAAAGTACTAAACTCTGTTGCCTGCACTTTCTAGGTACTATACCAAGAAATGGTGACAGTACTGCTGAACTAATTATTATTAAATTACAGGTTCCAAGGAAGAGCTGGAAGCTAAAAGGGCATTGAAAAGGGTGCGCAAGGCTATTATTCACCCTTCGGATTTGGAGCAGGGGGAGGGAAGCGAGCATGATGCTCCCGCTTCTCAGAAGCAATCGTCGAAGCTGGTATGTTATGCTCTGTTATGACACTTATTAGTTTGTTTATTTGAGCAACTCTGTGGCTCTTCCCTGAGAGCCATCATGGGAATGGACCTGTGTTAAAATATAGAAAATAAAATAGATGAAATGAACCTGTGTTAAAATATAGAAAATAAAATAGATGAACAACTTATAAAGGCAATTTTTAAGAAAATGTATTGTTAATGCATGAATAAGACTATCCATTGAACAAAGCATGACTCTAATTACGAAGGGAATGTCAGTCTTGAATTGCCTGAAGAAAAAGGAATGTAAATCTTTGAATTGCCCGAGGGAAAAGTTAATTATGAAAAACATTGCGTTTAAATTGGTCTTGTTGAATTACTCTTCCGTAGTTGATATGGGACGACATTGACCAATATATGAATTGGTTATGACAAAAAGGGGAATGTACTTTAATATTAATTTTTTATTTAAACAATTTCTCACACTTCTGTGAGCAACTTCTATGCTTCATGTTTCAGGACTCCCGCCAGACTTCACAAGACAAAAAAAGACAGAAGGCTCTCCAGTTGGCGTCAAAGAGTTCTGCTTACCAGAGGATATTAGAAGAGCAGCTCGAAAATGCTAAGAAGAAAAATGAAGCTGCCTCTGCTGTACAGGTCTGTGCCGCAATATGCATATCATACATGCTTTCAACATTTGTTTACCTGCAATCTACCAAACATGTTCTCGTGCAGGTCTCCAGAAAAAGACCACGCCCTGCCCCAGAATCGGACAGCGACAGCAATGATTACGTTGTCTCTGCCTCTGAGTTAAAGCGCGCACGAACAGAGGCACGGTACTGGCGCCGTCGCTACGAAGAAGTTAACAGAGAGAAGGCGCAACTTACTAATATCGTCGAAACTATGAGTGGAACTATAAATGGCCAGTTGGCAACGCGTAAGTACAAATATGGTGATCTGATGTTCATAATAGTGCCTGTGATTCTTACGAGCATAGTCTTGGGGACTGGTGTGCCTTGGATAGAAAATGTTTTAGGTAATTCATTTCTTGATACCACGGATTGTGCACATTTTCATCTTCTTTGTCAAATAGAAAGTTGCATCATAATACTGCTGTTAAAGGTATTGGCGAATTGATAATTTGGTGACTTCACTTTTAACTCTGGGTTGAATTTCTTATAGAGGTTTCTACCAGGGAGTTCAAACTAAGGGGTGGTTATTCATTTGTTCTAGTTAAGGAGATGCTGGAGTCCAGGGGGCCTGTTCAGCTGCCAGGAACACAGGCAGTTCATCAAGGTAAGGAGATAGCGACCTTATACTGAAAGTTACTCCATGTAATTTAATGCTCAGGGCAGTCACAGTTTAATTTTCAGGAATATTTGTGTACACCGTGTAACCAATATTTTGCAGTGGTCTATCTATAACCTGGTATCTGTGCTGTACTGTTCTCTTCAGGGACTCGAAGAAGTATGTATCTGTTTCAGTTTGCACATCACTTGAACCGACGGCAGGGCCAAGTGCACGGAGAACGGTGCCTCCTAGCAACCCCCCAAGGGCCCCTGCCGTTTGTCAGATGGCTCTGCCCCCAAGAAGTCCTCTGAGGAACCCTCTGAGGACCCCTCCGAGGACCCCTCCGAGGACCCCCCCGAGGACCCCCCCGAGGACCCCCCCGAGGACCCCTCCGAGGACCCTTCCGAGGACCCCTCCGAGGACCCTTCCGAGGACCCCTCCGAGGACCCCTCCGAGGACCCTTCCGAGGACCCCTCCGAGGACCCCTCCGAGGACCCCTCCGAGGACCCCTCCGAGGACCCCTCTAAGATGTCATCTATCACTGACCAACCAGCCCAGGAGTGCAGTCCTGGCCTCACCACCAGCAATAGGTATAATACTTGCATCAGTGAGACACTAGTGTCCCTTAAAATTAATGGAGAAGTTAACAAGATTTTGGTAAAACATACTTGTGGAACCTTCACCTCTCCTCAGTGGCTGATCCGCGAGCTGCAGGCCATGCACCCTTCACAGATGTAGGCGGTGGCAGGGTAAGCATATAAATAGCATTTCCCTGAGGTTGCCCCTAATTTATGTCTATACTGCTTCTATTCACAGTTCCATCTGAAAAGTGGCATCACTATCGGAGCCCACCAGGCAAAAAAAGCCTTGGGCCAACGGAAGCCAGCACTCGTGGCTAAGGACATAGCTCAGGCACTTTGGGGACGTCAAGGGCTGGCAGACCGCACTTATGGGGGCAAATTAGCCCCAAAAGACTACCACAAGCCCGACGCCATCTTGCGGAAAGAGATGACCCCTGAGAAAGTCGCTCTTGTGATTGGTAAGTGAAGTCATGTTCTATTTTATAGGCGCATTACTTGTGCCCGACTGAATTTGCTTGTTGCTACTTTACAGAGACAGTAACACACTGGGGCACGAGGGCTGGGGTCCCAGTTGCAGACGCCATCGATAACATTTCTACCATCCTCTCCCAAAAGATACAAGATGTGCGCAAAAGCCTGAAGCGGCAAAATATGTAATGTAACCACCTTTGTAGATTTTTTTTTATTTACCCCATCTTTTAATGGCAGTATGTGGACTATTGGCGACTCCAGTGAAATCGCCGCCGCGTAGCGGCAACATTGAGAAGCTCAAGAAAGGAGGTCGTTTAGACTGTCGTCTGCTATCACTGCTTGGTTCTCGTAGCCAGCATAGAAACTAACATTGTTTCCAGTAATTATTTTATGCTTCCGCCGTGTCATTTCTACGCACCGACTAGAAGGTTTTTACCGTCGAAGAAGCGCTTTGCTTTCATAACACATATTTTACGCTGCAGTGGTGGTTCACGTGTTGAACGACGAAAACGACTTCCTTTCGTTTGCCATTTTGCCTGACCGACGCGACCCCTATGGTTTCACTGGAGTCGTGAATACATTTTTAAAAGTTTTAATTTTATGGAATCAAAACTTATGGTGATATTTGTTTTTAAGAATTCAAGGTTTGACAGATTTTCTTTCATAGGATTGCAGGTGCCTCACTGTGACAGCCAAATGATTAGAATGTTTAAAAAGGTATCTACTATATTTTAGTTACTAGCTTTCATTTTCCATTTTCATGCCACTTGCACACCTTTTACATTGTATGATGTCCCTGTCACATAAGTTTGCAATTATGAGATGCCAATGTAGAACTCATAAAAGTTAACAATATTCTATCCTAGTCATTGTTGCTGTTTCGTCTGCTGGTTTTTTCTTGTTTGAGTAAGACTATGTGTATATTTGTTGGTTTCACTATCATTGTATGCGCCTCTTTCCACAAGGGTGCAGCCTTGAATGTTGACACTTCCGGTATGCATTAAAGCAGTGTTGATATCTCTCCACGTCGCTGGAAGGTGTTCACGAAAAATCTGTGATTTTCACAATTTTTGTTTTGCCTAACCTATATTTCCTCGCATGCTCTAGGTTGAGGTGTCCCATTATTTTGTGTCCCTCATGCCAGATATAGAACCCATGTGACTGAAAAACGTCTATTATTTTAATTTTGTGTGAAGAAGTTGCAGTGTGTTTATTTGTGGCAATTTATCACTGGGAATATTTTTTGTTTGTGTTTGCTGGTCAAGTACCCTGCTTCATTTCTGCTCATGCCTGGTGTTTCTTTTGCATTTTTTTTAATTAACATGTTTCGCAGTTTGCTGCAATACGAGAGGTCCACTTGGAGTCTGTGGCCGAGTTTGCGGCTTCTGGAGCTATTACTCACACTTTGGGTAATTCTATGTTTTTGAGCAAATACAATGTTCAGTCAGCAAGTGTCAAGTTAGCTTCAAGGCATTACCAAGCTGCTAACCTCAACACAATATGAAAAATTTTAACTATGTGTGCTATGCCCCCCTCCCTAGCCACCATCCCGGCCTGTTAATTCTCAGTACCTGCATATGTTCATTTAATGTTTTTTTGTATTATACATAAGTGACGGATGTTATGACATTATTTTTATGTATGATTTAAAGGCTTTAATAAAACAGATTCCAAACCCCGATTCTGAACTCACTGAAACTCCAGAAGCGGTCCCACTTGCCAAGCGATTCCGCTTGCCAAGCGGTCCCACTTCAAGCGGTCCCGCTTTAAGCGGTCCCACTTCAAGAGGTCCCACTTCAAGAGGTCCCACTTCAAGAGGTCCCACTTCAAGCGGTCCCACTTCAAGTGGTCCCACTAGCCTCCCACTTGCCAAGTGGTCCCTGTTCGATAAACCACTTCAAGTGGTCCCACTTGCAAAAATTTTACCTGGGTAGACGTATTTACACGAACGTAGGTCAAACCAATTATAAACCAGGTCGGTACTGTACATCTATATTTCCAGACAAAGCATATGGAAGCCAATCGTTGCCATTTACGGAAGCAGTTCAGAACTGCAACGACTACACTACAAAGCTGCGTCACTCGACAAAACGAAGTTGGTCCTCACCAGCATTCTGCATCTCGGTCGCATTCACGACGAGCGTGCAGTTGCATCCCTGCAGGTCAGCCGACCAGATGTTGCCGTGAGACTCGTCGACCCAGAGAAGCCGTGGCGCGCTCCTCTGCGACCGATCCAGCGTCACGGCACTGCCCACGGATGCGTGCGGATCGCAGCTGCACGACTGGTGCCCGCTTCGCTTGGAAAGCCTCGAACGGGGCAGGCCGGGCGACAGCGAGTTGCCAAAGAACCGGTGCGCGTTAGTGCCGTCCGAGTTGCACACCATGAGGGTCCTGGAGCCGTGGCCCGCCACGGCCGTGTATATCAAAGTGCTGTTGACAAAAGAAGAACAGGTTTTCCTTCCCCATACACAAGCGGCCGGTACAACAAAATCTCTGGGAGGCAGGTACAACAAAATCTCTGGGATCCGTTGTTTATTTATTTGCTTAGGACATACTGCAGGATTTTTTAACAGGCCTGACGCAAGTGTAAATACAAAACAGCAAAAAATATAACCGTCAAGCCAGAATACACAAGAAAAGAACACATAACATATTTGTTTGAGTAATAGCCGCACTTCTTATGCGGAGGCATGCGGTTTAGAGAAGCTCGTTTTTGCGAACGCCGTTTTACCGATTCCAGTTTATCGAATCCCTTTATAGAGAAACTCAGTTGAAAGAAAATGGTGATGAGCCTCTTTTTGGTGAATTCGGCCGCTACGAAGCCGCGTGCACGGATGGGTCAGGTGAGTTAACATTTTTGTAATGAGCCGCTGCAGACTGCGAAATAGAAGAGCTTTCTTTAAACAGCGTTTCTTCTTTGATAAACGTCATTGCACTACACTAAGCTCAGGCTCCACTTTCTCTAAACCGTGCTTCAATAAAAAAGCGCCAGTTCTCTAAAGCGTGCTTCGATGAAATGACGTTCGATCAATCGTAGTAAACCCCTTCTTATGAACAAGGCCCTTGCATCTACTTTTCTGCAGAACACACATGCAACCATTCATCGCATTCTCAATAAAAAAAAAAAAAGTGAATCACGAGGATGAGAGCACGATTCTGCATAAGAATGCAATCTGAGCAGATAGCATTTTTTCATGAAGACGTTATCTGCACCCCGTAAATCGCTGCCATTTTTCCTGCAAATCGCAGTAATTCGCTATCCCCGTGCTCCGCGGAAAAGCAGACCACGGGCTCAGTTCATAAACAGCACGGCTATTACAGTCTAAGCTCGTCATAACAGACATTGATTTTGACCAAGATATCGGTTTGTTGTAAAAGGAGTATGTTGTATGCAGATATGAAGTTGAGTCAATGGTATGTAGAGGAAAACCAACTGAACTTCCCAAACCGGTATGTCATATCCAAATGTCTGTTATAACCAGGTCTGTTGTAACAAGCTTAGACTATACTCAAGCAAATATGCACTTGCATATTATTTCACAACTTTTTTTTGCGCCGCCTTATTCTTTTGCCAGAGGCCTGAAAAACGTTTTGGCAATGCTATGAGCGACCTTTTCTCATGGGTTGTGCATATATTTGATTTCGCGAGTACTGCGAACCTCCAGTCTACTTATACACGGATGCAGGGCTACCAGACAGATGATGCCAGCGTGCCAGAGTGTCCTCTCATCGTAAACAATCACAGAGAAGCACCCCGCATTCAGAGTGTGAACCAGTCTTTAATCTGCCAGATGCCAAAGCTACGAAAAAGAGCACACTGCCACAAACAATGATGGCAGTGCGCTAGCACACATGCCCAGCCGGGATGTACTGCTACGTTCACACTTTAAGTAAAACAGAAAGTGAAACGGAGCACAGAACCGTTCGGACTTGCCTCGAGAAAGGGTCAGCCTCGACAGACGAAATGGACATGCTGCTGTTTAAGATCCTGTAGAAATTGTATCCCTGGTTGAGGTCCATCATGAGGATCGAGCTCTGCCCCAGCGAGCGGTTAGTCTCAGTCCAGTAGAGGTATCGACCGATCCAGTCAATGGTAAGGCTTGTTCCAGAGAAAGGAAGACTGTGCACCTGGACGACAGGAAAAGAAACGACAACAAATGCTTGTGAGTACATCACTGCAAAGCATTGAATTTGTTGCCCTCATTACTTTACAACCTCACAGCACCAGTGAGTGCACCATGCTACAGTAAGAAACAGGAATAGTAGCATTTCTGAAACTTTAGCATGAAAACAAAGTGAAGGGCCATCTCATTACCTGTGTTTCTTTACAGGTATGAAACAGATGTGCAAACAGATCTTTTCATTTTCCAAGTTTTAAGGACTTATGAGCACTGTAACATTGTTTCAACACTCACGGACATGATACTATGAAATTTTGGAAGTCAGGAGTGTGCATACACAGGTTTGGTTCGCGCCCAACGTGCACGAGCGTACTTCCAAGCTTTGATTTCGAGTCCTCAAAAAGCCGTTCCCAAGTTTATGCAAACTACAGTCAGAGAGCATCATTACAATAAAAGTTGCTTAAGAAATCAAACATTTTGGGTTCAAGAAGGAGGCACAAAAGAGAGTCAAGCATAAAACATGGATGTGAATATTGTGTTTGCTTTCCATTTGTCCCAGTCTCGAGACGTTACAGATGCTTAAGGTTCAGGATGTTTCCTCCGTACTTAGTCACCATCATTCTCCCCATTTACTTCCTTTGGAAACCCATCAATAATGGCATAGTTTTATAGTAGAACAGTACTTCCACTTCGCAGAAATTATTTATTTAATCTACTAAATCATTTTACTAGACTTCAAGTCAATAAACTGATTTGGCTATTCCATCAATATTCGTTTCTATCCCAAAACTCACCATCCACCCATGTCTTTGCTTGATGCACTACATTTCTATGAAGAGCTTGTTTCAGTTGGGAGCGGCATGCATCACTGTACCATTTCTCAGAAATTATTATATTCAATCTTTAAAATTATTTCATTAGATTTCGAGTCAGAAAAATAATTTGGCTATTCAACTGATTTGTTTCTATCCCAAAACACATCATTCACCCATGTATACGTTGGACGCCCACATTTTTAGGGGGGAAGGTTTGTTCCAGTCAAAAGTGTAGCACGCACCACTGTGATGTTCGACCCGTCCAGTCCCGAGGCCATGAGGAGGCCCTTCTCCTCGAGCCAGAAGACTCTCCCGTCTTGACCCAAGTAAGCGATGGCCACGGGGTGACTGGCCTTGCTCGAGAGTAGCCTCTCCTGGTGGAGGTCCACGTCAGTGACTTTGACTGCATCCGTCTTGGCGAGCAGCAGCTTGGGCACGGGATGCTCCTTGGCAGTGCTTGCCTGCACCAGGTCGCTCATGGGGCCTTCCCCGGCACGCGTCGCCGCTCCAACCTGTTTGTGCAGATTGCCAAATATTGTGTTTATTTGACATAATTTCAAAGCTTTTTACGACTTAGAAAAGGAACCTAACGAGGGAATGGCAGCTGACATTCTGCTAAGACACGTATAGTAACTCACGACATAAGAAATGCATGGCGTGGCAAGCCCCAAGCGTCTTACTATCGCTCCCAAGCCAATAAGGTTGAAGCATTTGCTGATAAGAATGGCAGAAAACGAATAGCGAAGCAAGAAGCAAGAGGCTTCTATAGCTTCTTTAGGATTCGAGGAGATTATGTCTTTTATCAAGATGTCAGCAGCGCCCTGGGGCCTCCCAGCTGGTTTGTTTCCCCAAGTTCTTCCTATAAGCTTCTACTAGTACTATCATGCATTGTTTCGACAGTTGTTTACATATGAACACAAGGTATACAACCTCATTGTGTGGTAAATACAATAACTCCATGTGTAGCTTTGTACACCTAAGGAAATGTATACTAAAACATTGGGCATCTCTGAAGCTACAAATATAAATGGTACAGTGGCTCTGCCACAATTACCTTGGTAGAATTTAGAGACAAATAATCGGAATTTACGATTGACGAGCTGCGCTTTCATCACGGCTGAGTATGAAGTGGACGAGCAGATTAAAATTAAAATTAACTGCAATGTCTTCAAATTCAAGCTACAAAGAACGAGGCAATTAAACGAAGGTGCAATTATAGTATAATAAACATAAAAATTACTAGGTTTAGATAAAACAAAAACAAATAAAATTCAGTGATTGAAAAGGTAACCATCATCTGTACTGCTTTGGACAGTTCGATACTGCTACAGAAGAACAATCAACCCCCATATCAAAATTATTGATAAGGCACGGAAAACTAGACGGCTCCAAGCACTAGCAAACAAGTGTTCGTTTTGAAGATCACACTTACTTGAAAGTAGTATGTTGTATTGGGAAGGAGGTTGCCGATGCGATAGGAGAGCGCTTCTCCTCCAACCCGGACATTCTTGCAGAGTGTAACTATGGAATCATCCTTGAAGAACCAGCAGTTGATGCGATAACTTTCAATGACTCCATTGGGATGTTCAGGGGCGGCCCAGCGGAACTCAGCCTCAATGACGTACTTCATTCGAAGAGGAGAGGATTTGTGATTGACAAAGACTCTCGCATGCAGGGGAGCAGTTGGAACTGGAAGAATTTACATAACCATTGTTGTACATTGACATTGTACATAAGCTGTGCTTTCCATGTGCTAATGCTCTTTTTCTGCACATGTTCCTTCGAATTTTAATGGTACTAAATTCAGAACAATGAATCCAGTTCACTTGCAACTTCAAAGGTGACAAGTATCTCACTAGGTATTATATCTATTCAACCCCTAAAACGCATAGTTTTCAAAGCTTGATCATTGAGGTTGAGGAAAGGAGCCATCAGGCAAGATTACCAGCAATTAGAAAATTCACACTGATAAAAACTGATCTACATCTCAATAATATCCATACAAGAAAGTGAGATGAACCTCAAACATAGTTAACAGAGAGAACACCCCACGACACAAGAATATCACCTGAAGCTTTAAGTGAACCCAAGCAAATCATGTCGGTGCACTCACATGCCATATGGTATGCTTATTATTCCCTCATTAGTCCCATCAGAAAACTGTCAATGGAGGGGTGCTAATTTAAACAGGCTCACAAACTTACCCGACATGGGTGAATAGATCACTGTTGTCGTTGGTCGAGAGGATGCCCAGAAGGTGTAGGCTCGCACTACAATCTCCAAGCGTGTGTAAGGACGCAAGAGGTTCCTTGTTGGGTATATGAAACGATTCTCCAATGTCACCTGTGAGCCATTTACACGTAAGCTTTAAGCAGTGTTGTCAATAAACTCAGACTTTCCCTGCTACTTATGGCTAAATGTTCCTTATCATTTTACTCAGACTAGCTCACAAAGCTATATTAATGCTCTTTCGGGCTTTGACTAGGGCATGACTTGTTATCTAATCATCTAAAATCCTTAACGGTCGAGGCAGTCAATTTCTATAGTACAATTATAAATTTCGAGAAACTAAAGTATAAATGTTAAACCCCATCTCAGTTATCAATTATGCGTACATACCACAAAATACAAAGCAACAGGTAGCCAGCTTTGGGTCAGACAAACTTATAATTTTCGTTTCATTTAAAATACATCGCACAAAACTGTGAGCCACAACAGCCTCGTGCTTTTTTGGCACATCTGCCAGTTTTTCACACAGCTTTGGTTTAAAAAAGAACTGAAATGCAAACTTTAAGTTCCATTCTTTGAACTCCTTTACAAACCAAGAAATAATAAATGCTGTGGAAACCACAGATATGGAAAAAGGCTGGGTTGAGTATTATACCGCCTCTTACTGGCCTAGATACCATGCAAAATATGTCAGTTTCAGCAGAAGCGTTACCGCTACTGCGATTTTATTTTTGCTAGATTAATTATCACAGCATTTAAAACAATGAATGAACAAACCTGTGTGTAAACCTCCCGGTCATCTGAAATCTTTAGCTCGTAGAACACTTCTCCATAGTTAACGTTTGTCTCCATGGACCAGATTATTGTGAAATTTTCCCAGGTACCAATCACTTTGATCTTGTTCCTGGCAATTTGGGAAGGCACTACTTTTACAAGCGATGGGTCCAAGCCACCTGCAACAAACATATATCAAAATTAGTAGTCTGCTCTCAATAGAATATTGACATGTGCAATGGAAAAAGTCATGCACGACATTTGAAAACACTAATTTTTCTAGTTGCATTTCACTTTGATGTTAAACTTCCAAGGGCTTAGCTAACTCTAGACATAAGGTATTTACAGCAGGAGCCACCAAAAACATTTGCCAAAGAGACCAAACAACTTTGTTTTACAATAAATAATTCACACTAAACACTAGTGTCAAGCAATTATTAGAATTTTCTAACAGTAGTTTCGAATGATACGCTATTCAATATTCGCTTCGGGATGAACTGGGATTTTCATATTTTTTAAAGTGTTTATCGCAGTAGGTTACCCTGTTGAGCGCGCTTCTTACCGAGCATCGGTGCACTGCAAGGAAGCAACACTTGCGGTGCTCGCTTCCGCGGATGCGGCTTTCCCGCAGTGCACCGGTGCTTGGTAAGAAGCACACTCAACCGGGCAAACCCACCACAATGAACACTTCAGAGTACAAATACTGCAGCTGTGTGCTTAGGAGGAAAGCTCATTTCCAAAGAGGGGTGGTGCATAAGAAAGAAATGAAAACTTCATGAATCTTGATATCTACATTGCAGAAAAATTTTCAAAATTAAACTGGCATGCATGAGCGTATATATGCAGAGATGCCCTGACAACCTGTGTTAATCACATGTGATAGAAGAAAATATATACATGAAGCAAGATTATTTATAAATTCCCTTGATTAGGTATAGCTGGGCAACCATAAAGGTTTAATTTTATATCAAATTTTCAGTTTCCTCGCCATCCCAATGTAGGCATTGGACTTTTGCAGGCCACAGTCAATAAATATAGTTAGAATAAAATGAACTTATCTTAAAAACGGACAAGTGGAAGCTTGACAACAACCTTCACAAGTTCAGCTAGGTTTTCATTCAAGCATGTTGCAGTAGTGAAAAGGCTTAGAGAAACTATTCAGTAATCAATTAAAAAATATTCAGCCAAAACCACTATTTGCTTTGAATTCACTTCAAACTCAAAATCCACTCTTCGCAAATGCCTCCTACACACGAATTCTGTGACATAACGCCACTGTGGTGGCATTTCCGTTAGCACTGGCATGAGCAGGTGCTTCACCTTATTTGAATCTAGTTTCTGCACATGTGCAGTGCCCACACCTGGTGTGGGTAAAGTGCAAGCTTGTTTCTAAGCAACGTGTTGATGTAGGTATATTCTACCGGATGTTGCCAGACAACCATCCAGTCCTGCGCACAGAAATCCAAGGGCACTATAATTTGCTGCCTTGCTTGGAAAAATATAATCAGCTGAAACAAGGAAAAAGAACTAACAGCAAGCTGAAGTGAAACTATGCACCATTTCATCTTACAATAGACTGCAGCGGATGCTAGAAGGCATCCCAGCCAATCCAGTGCTGTGAACATTTCCCACGACTATACGTGAAAGGTCACGTGACACTGACACGGCACTGGATTCGCTCCAAAGGCTCCTAGCGTCCACTGCTGTCCACTGTCAGATGAAACGAAGTACTATAATGATGTCTGTTTTTCCTAATCCAGAACATATGACAATCATCTGTTTCTCTCACATGCATGCAACTATAGTAATGGGGATCAGCATGCTGCACCTGGGTACGGCTGAAGAGAAGCGTCGACAACAGCCAGAGCCTTCAGCTCGTAAAGGCCCAAGCCCCTCAAGGTGGCAATGTTCTGTCCGATCATGTTGGAAATGATGGCCTCTTTTTCCTGGTGGATCCAGTAGAGGCGGTTGCTGAAATACCAAACTGGCCCTTTCCTGCAGCAGCACAAGAAGCAAAAAGAAACAATCTCAACTATGTGCTCGAAGTCATATGCACTCAGCCATAGAAATTTGGTAAGTATAGGAAACAAAAAATGCTCTCATTTACAAACATGCAAGAATGTAGTACGTAACCTTTCTCAACCCACTGACGCTAGTTCCGAATACACCTTGATGCAAAAGTAAGCTCCTGCTGCTGTTTAGGATGACTTTGCAGAAATAGCAAGGTAGTCAAACTTTATTTCTAAAATAATTCAATGATTCTATTCTTAAGTTATAATACAATTAAATTCATACTGGCTATCTATGAAATGAGGGAGTACACAGAACCAAAGGAATTTTTTCCAAAATTTCCAGCAGTGACGCCAGTTAAGTAATTAGATATGCTTTCATACTATATGCTCGTATAATATGCCGAGAATTCTTTTCACATCACTTCCGAGATAAAAATAAATATTATCTCATGGTAAATCTAACTATTCTTCATAGAATGTTACAAAATTTATATTGAATACTGATGAAAAAAACAAAAGGAGAGCTGACAGTAGTGAGCTTAAGTTCTAGGTATTCCACGAACCATAATCCTCTTTCAGCAAAAGGAAAATGTTGTGCATTCAGTTCACCTAATCCTCTTCCAGCATCACTTTCTTTTTTTTTTTTTTTTGCATAGATTGCTCATATGTGTTTGGAGGAGTGTGAATTAGACATCTGGCAGGTTTCCATTATACGCAAGAGCCACCACTAACGTATACTCTCCATCAGACATGCTTGATTGTACATGCGAGTCAATTTTAAGCTACTTTTTGTGAAGACTAAAGACTCAGCGAACAAAGGCTTACATTTCACTTTCTGACAAAGGACCCACAATTTTTTCGGAAATTTCTCTAGGGCCCGTTTCCTTCCTGAGCGACGACTGGAACAGATTTGAGCCTTGAAAACTTCGAACCATCCAAAAGATCTTTTCATGGCCCAGATCCAAGGTAAGTCCCATGACTGCAACAAAACGGCGAGCAAACTGTCAGCAACATGTGGCCTCAGACAAACAACAAAGGATGCTCTGGACTGATATTATGTTTGGAGTGATTCAAAGAATAGTACCTTGCTTTCCGGAAAAAAGACCAGTCTGAAAGAAGGACTGCCTGTCCTCGCCGTTGAGCCTTGAGCATTCCACACTGTGCGTGGTGGCCCAATAAAGGTATCCAGACAAAGAATCAATGGCTATCTCCTGCGCCATAGTCAAAAGGGGCAGCGATTCTGGGTATGTGCCATCCAAGTTTGAACGCGATATCTGGAAAGATGACAAAAAAAAATGACGAATGAAAGGCAGCAAATAATATAATGCAAAAAATGTGGCTTCTAATGCACAAATCGAAGAGTCCTCAGGTGGAGGCAATGCCTTCAGTAGCCTTCACAGAACACAGTAAAAAAGCCTATCAAAATCACCTAAAATGAACTACCGATATATCCCGAGAGATAGCCCACCTAAAATCGAGAGCAAATTGGGCGAAAATAAGGGGTGGGCTAACTTTCGGTGTATACAACCAAGAAAAGGTGTAAAAGAAAACACTATTTTTAGATCATGCTTTTCTGACAAACTTGCTATCGCGGCGAGGGACAATAAAACAAAGATGAATGTAGTTCCCAGACAGCAATGTTCGCTTATGTCCAGCCATATCTACCTAGCTGCATTCACGCAGAGGTCATCATTGATGTGAACACTATGATTCAAGGAGTGGGCTATCTTTTGATGTTCAAAAGAAAATAGCAAATCAAGCTAAAAAAAAGGGGTGGGTTATTTTTTGAGGGTGGGGCATCTCTCATGATATTATGCTAGACCAGGAGTTCTCGAACTCTTCCAACTTAAGGGGTGAGACTACCTTCAAGTGTTGACTTTTAAACCAGTTGCTCAATGTTGGTGAAATTTTGAGGGTCTATTTATCTCATTGCCTAAATACACTCTATGATGTCTCATCTCTGTAGGACAATTTCCCAATAAGGAAGGAATACAGCAATTGACGTAAGTCACCTCACTTGGCAAGGAAATCTATCATATAAAATTGCTGCAGAATACTGAGCATTTCTAAGCTTCAGCCTTAACTAGAGCATAAGGGGGGTGTGGCTATCTACATTTTTACCTTAAAATTCGTGTTTCTTCTATGCAAAATGTCAATTTGAAAAGCATTCAACATAATTGGGCATTTTCTCCTCATCAAAACTCTGCTTTTTGGCAATAAGAACCTTTTTTTTTGGAAAAATAAATATCTAGCCGCATTCCTCATTAAATTTCAGTTCAGATACATCCACAGCGAAGAATACAATAGGCGATTCATTGAAATGATAGATTTCTTAAAACGAAAGTTGCTGTAAAAATGTTAAACTGAGAAAAACCTGTTTGAAGTTTCCACACCACTACATTTGACTTCTGCTTACACCCGATCTCCTGGATGGCTTTGCTAAGTGAGTCCAAGCTTAAAACCTTTTTTCGTGTGTCATTTTGTTGTCGGCATGTGGACCCTGATTGTGAACTGAGTGAGGAATTGAGTATGCTTGTAATACACGAACCAACGTCAGCAATTATAGGCAGGGTAAGCATTGTCGAAATACAAAGCAGACAAACCCATGTGACTTTCTATAAACGAATGTTGGTTTTGGTCAGTTTTGTGTTCAATCAGGGCAGGCTTTTCGATTCTTGGCCATATGCATAGCCTCTTCTACGTGAAAGACGGACTTCTATGATGTTCTTGCTCGAATAGTATTCACTCTCGAACAAAGATGTTTCATGTACTGACACTGTGAAGAAATGCTCTTTCCAACGAAAGTATAATCATTATTCTAGGGCATACCAGTGCAAAGCTACAGCAGTTCTAAAATAGGGAACAGAAGTTTCATATTTCAAAAAAACATGATTTTGCATTGTTGGCTTACCGAAAATGTTCGATTTCTCCATAAATACTTAAGATATTGCAATAAAAATGTGTAGGAGTGTACACTATTAGTTGTGGAACCACAATACATAAAGATAGAAAGTCTTTTTTTTTTCCCAAATATTTAAGGTGGTGTCTTCCCTTAATTAAGGAATGCTTATTTCTCTTGAATATTAGGCAAGGAACCCTTGCTGGCCTAAGTACTGATACAATAAAGTGGTACAGAAGTTCAAAGATTTCTCAAACAGCAATGCACACACCAGGAACTGTTTGGCACACAGTTATGTACCAATGAATGGCCCAAATCTTCTAAAATGATGCTTAAACTGGAAAGACTCTTTTGGGAGATGAACAACTAAGAAAAAATTAGGGGCTTGGAGGAACCCTTAAGCATTCTCTGGCAAAACCCCGGGGCTCCCAGAAAACCTACACTGAAAACTCATGAAAAAGAATGAGTGAAAACCCTTCAATTGTGTTCACTGGCATTCCAAGGTAGCTGCATGCTCTGGATCTTCAAACACCTAAGTTCTTTCTTGGTTTCCCCATTACTGTACTCCATAAAAGCTTTCAACTGCACAAGATCAAGCACATAATAGTATCTATCTTTTAGTATACTGTGGTTCTACAGCATACCATTTGCCTGAGAGGACTTGACCAGTACAGCTTTGGTGCCAGCCAGTCCACAGCGACCGCAGAAGCATGGCTGATGTTCTGGAGCCTTTCCAGTGAGAAATGTGAAGAAACATTGTATGTGTACACCAGGGATGTGTTGGTGTTGAGAAAAAGCTGGTCCTGGTACCAAGTAATATCTGTAAAATGAAGAGACTGAGTCAGATTTGTAACAGGTACTTGAAGCTTCTAGCTGAGCTTCATCCTACTTATGTATAGAAAATGTTTGAGTGGTTGCACAGGATGTAGTAACATAGTTTGTATTACTTCCTGCTGAGCTTACCAGTGATGTAGGCACTGTCCAGGCTGCTCCAATGGATGAGCGGTTGAATACTGTCTCCAACAATGTCGGACTTCAACAGCGCTTCGCTCGCACTCCAGAGCATGTACGGAAATCCCCGTCGTGAGGCTGTTTTACGAAATAAAGGTTAAAAATAATGGGGCTTTAAAAGACACAAATAGAAACAACGACAAGAAAGGTAAAAAAAATTATTTTGTATACCGACTGTCCCAAGAAAAGCAAGTCAGAGGTTCACTTACGTGGCCTCAAGGTTCGTCCGACAAAATCTGTGGACCAAGGTCCTCTTCCTCCCTGGCTGTATGCCCGTACTTTGACAGAGTAGACGGTGTTTGGACGCAGGTTCCTGATGGTGGTGGAAGTATCTGTGATGTTCATGATGTATATAAAGACCTTGGTGGAGTGGTCTTGCACTCGTACTTCGTACAGCCACTTCTGCCAGGCCCCCTGACCTAAAATGTTGAAAGTAGTATAAAACGTGAGAAGTTATCATGAAGTATGTTTATAAAAACTATAGACCAAAAAAGTGGATGTAAGCCGATTTACTGGCTACAATGTGAACTATGAAATGGGTTTGCCAACTCACATGGAGAATTATACAGTAGCACCTTTGGCATGACTTTAATATTCAGCACATTTATATTCTCTTATATTCTCTCTCTAGATGAGCAGCATTTTCTATTGTAGTTCATGATATTAGCTGACATGCCTTTTTACTCAGTAAAATGCTTGTGTATGATCAGTAGCATACATACTCTTGCACATCTATAGGCAAGATAGGATCTACTTGAGTGTCAAAGTCCTCTGGCTGACTGAAATAAAGGCTTGAAAATCTATTTTCATGAAGGCAAAGACACATAATGATTTTAGAACATTTATAGTGGATGATCAAGGTGCTATATACAGAAATCACAAGGTTTAAGTTCAACAAAACCTACTTGTTGTCACTCCAAGAAAGAGAAAGTTTTGCGCATGGTTCATACACTACATAAAGAAGTTCTTAAAATATTTTGTTCTCCAAGAAAAAAATGATGCTTGTTACATTTGAAACATGTACACTTCAATAAGATAACAAACAACTGATATCAAACACACATACAAATCCGATTATGATGCCAGTAACGCCATGCTTCAACAGCATGAGAAATAAAGAAGTGTCTGGCGTTGTGGCCTTGGGCACGCACTGGAATGAAGCTCCATGTCCTTTCCAGTACCTGGTTTCCTCGAGTAACTTCGCAACAAGTATCCCAATTCACTACATTGAAGAAATCACCTAGTATTGCTCTGAAAGAGGCCAAACTATTTTTACAATGAAACTTGAGGCAAAGTGAAGTGTAATTTGCTTCCTCATAAAATGCTGAGACCTTCATACTCAGCAGTCAATTCATGCCAAAGATGCAAATTTGTTGCCAGGTGAGGAGCATCTTTCTCAGCTGAAGCATGAACTGCCCACATTTGAGCAAACATGTGCCAAACCTCATTAGAGCCTCTGCAGATGTGCCAACTCATTGATGACCGGGACTGTTAACTAAACTTCCAAGAGGCTCTGCCCTACCGTCAAATGAGGATCACTATTTGGTAGCATGTGTTTTTTGTTTTTTTTTTATTTTTTAAACAACAAGTTTTATTTTAATTACCCTTGTCTATGTAAGCCATAGGCATTTTAGCCAGTCTGGGAGGGGAATGTGCAGTTATGCGTGCAAACACCGGTACCAGGGTTCTCCCTACAGTGGGTGGCAGTGGCCTTCCCGTCCATCGGTCTGGCTGACTGCCCATCTCTACTATGTCCAGTTCACCTCTATATTTTGCCTCTTCTGGACAATAGAATGCTGATCTTGAAAACGTGCGATTCCCCAGACTGTTGTGTTGGGCAGACATGTGTGCCACTACACGACGAACCTAATCTCTGCAAATAAAATCACTGCTACACAGCCGAGAAAGTGGCAAGAACACCAAAAATTGCAGCAATCACCACCTCCTTCTCCTTGCTAATGCCCTGGAAATAGTCATATGTCCACATCCTAAAATTTTTAGGGAAAACCCCGATTGGTACTATATAGCTGAAAGCACTAATTATACATATGTAGGTTAAGATGCTCTTCTGGCAAGAAAAATATAGCACCACCTACCTAAACCTCCTAAAAGTCTTGGAGGTTCCCATGCAATTTTCGCAAGGTCCTCCTTGAAGATGGCTTGGACCTTCTGGACGGGGTTTACCGGTACTGCAAGGACATTGATAAAAACATTACTAAAAAAAAAGCCTGTTTTTGTAGCTCATTTATTATAAATGATATACAAGTGGCATAATATACAAATGTGCTGACAATGTTTAATGTTATTGAAATGCAAGATCGAAAAAGCATTTGTATAGTTTTACAGCGCAATCTTTAATACCTACTTTACGTTTCTATAAAATATGCACATTTTAGTGTCCACATTTTTATAGCGTGCATAGAGAGAACATGACATTAAAATATCTATCTTGTAATAGACATTTGAAAGTAGAGGTATGACTTGATAAGTGGTCTCAAAGCCTCCAAATCAGGAATAAGCTTCCATAGTTATTAATCTAAACTATATATGATATGAACTTCATATGAAAGAATGTGATGCCTCATGCCACATAACATATGTTATATAACACACAATCAGATGAATCAGACTTACCACCTTTCCCGATGTTCCTAAAGCTGCATTAAGGCAAGCAATAAAAGGGCATGTGTAACAGAGTCCGTTAAGATTATACCACAAAACAAGCCTGTTCTAGTGCTTTAACACAAATGTGCTAATAGCTGTCAATCTTTGAAAAAAAAAAAGCTTGAATCTGAAAAAATTAAAGGGGACAAGCACAACCCTATGTGCATGTGTTCCCCTTTTTGTTTTTCTCTATCTCAAGTATTTTGTTAAAGGCCGACCTGCATAATCGTCTTTTGCCGGGCAGAAAACCGCTTCCGAGTTTCCTTCTCTCCATCCCCTCTCGCCCTCTTCTCTCCCCCTCTCCCCACAGGAACGGATCCCGGGGCTACTCCCCGCAGAAAGGAGGATTGTGTCCCTCTTTCTCAAATGAAAAGGGGGAATTGAGGGAGAGTTTCCTCCTTCCTCGTTGTTCGTCGGCCTTTAAGATAAAAATAAGTTGGCACACTTAGAAACAATGCTGGATTTTTCTCAGTAAAATTATAGCTGTCAAAGACCCATTAAAATCTGGTATCTGACTAACACACACCAAATGCTCGTTCAAATTTCTCTGCATCGGTATATGAAACCAGTGCAGCGCAGAGATATGTGTTCCATGTTAACCACACAACAGCATTTGTGCATACATACCGCAGGTATTCCCTCAATAGAGCCATAGAATTTGTGGAAGAACTATTGCAATCAATTGCATCTAATCATCATCTGGTTTTGGCATAGCTACACATTCCTTACTTATAAAGTATTTGTGTAGCGTGTAATGTTTAGAAAGCCAGAAGTTAGTCAGCCTCAGTAGGCGTCTGGTGTCACCACACTGGACGAAAAATCTTGTCAGCGCAGTACCACTGCTAGCCTGGGATCTTTTAATGTGCACCACGCAGCAGTAATGCACAATCGCACGCCGGTGCAATGCTCATCTAGATTGAAACGGGCAGGGGCGGAGATTGAACCCGGACTTCCTAGGTTCTGCAGCACAAGCTTTCGCTCAACGTGCTCCGAGCTGCGTTGAGCTAACAGACTCTGCCACCGATCCTCCCTCATAATGTATACGCAACAATGCAGAGTAAAAAGAAAAAAAGGACGCACCAGGGAACGGCTGGGACGACATGTGGAAGATCCCAATGTACACGAGTGGCTGGCTGTCCACCGTGTACTTGTTGTGGTAGAACTTGTCCCCCTTCTCGTGGTACTCCTCCCCAAACGCCTCCGTCGCGGTGGTCCAGTACAGGTTGCCCCTGTGGTAGGTCACCCTGCGCACGTCCGTGAACTGGTGCCTCTGGGAGTTTCGGCGAATGTCCGTCTCGTCGGTCCCTGACAGCGACACCGACACCACGGTATTCTGAGCGCTCTTTGGCAGGAGGATCCTGTAGTTCTTGTAGTCCACCAAGAAGGTGTGTAGTTCGAGATCCTTGAGGAGAAGCTGGGCCTCCTGTCTTGCCACGGCATCTTTCCTAATCTTGGCGAGGTCGATGCGGTAGAGGCCGCCCGTAGTGCCATTCTGCAGGACCCAGTAGAGGTATCTGGAAGTGATTTTTTTTTTTTTTTTTAAAGATGCATTAAAGTTGTGGAAATAATTCAACGCTACGAAAGACATCTTTCTTCGTTTAAATACTGCAGCAGCCACGTTAGACAAAAATTATTAACATGTTTAGAAGATAATTAGTAATCCACAACACGGAAGACTATACTTTGTTTCACGTCACGATAAACCGCAGAAGACGCTACACGCATCACGTGACCTTCGGAAGAGGCGCAGCAACACACAGGGCGCGTAGTCAGATGATATGTTCAACGCGCTCGCCGGGACGGCTTGTCGCATTGCTAGTGCTCCAACTATCATAGTCGGATGCAACCTGAGAACAATCTTTTAGCTCCACCCACAAGCGCATTGCGCCCATCTGAAGTGCCTCCGCCGTCGAGAAAGTAGCTCGCTAGCAACGTTGCTTTTTCTTCCTCCAGGAAACGTGTCTTAAACTACTACAATATTTATTTAATTCATTCAGGACATTTAAATAAGTTAGAATACGTTTTTGTCAACGAAATAGCTGTTTAGTAAAGAAAGAAAGTCATGTCCAATGTACCGTCTTCCCAATTCATTTTCTGTCCAAGATACTGTCTAACATACTGTCTAACATACCTCTCAGCAGTGCTAAGCCTCGCACCCGCTTCGAAATTTTCGTTGGCGATAGCGTCGCTGGATTCTCACGTTGTCGCGCAAAAACTGCTGCAAACGCAAGCCGATACCTTTAAGATTTCGTGGCGTAACCTCGGGCACGTAATACACGGTGCAAAAAAAGCAGAATAATTGTCACGAGAAACTAGCGTCGCGTTGCTAAGGCCAACAGCCATGTTGAGTTTTTTTTTTTTTTTTTTTCAAAAGGATTGCGATTGGTCCACGGATACGTGACGTCATGAAAACGATTGGCTGGTGTTTCTCGGCGTAGGATTACATTTTCCTCTGAGAGGCATTTCCGGTTTTTTCTTAGCTTGCAACCGACTATAGCTCTGTTCTCCTTTCATTTGGAACTCATTCTAGCGATATATGGCACATGTAAGTGGTATTCGCTGCAACGGGAGTTATCTGTATTAACGATAGCTGTAATCGGAGATTAAAAACAGCATACTCTTCTTAGCAAAGTTGAAATAAGCCCTGCGAGCACGACAGAGGTTTGGAGTTGACCTTACATGGGATGCACAGTACAAGCTTCCCAGTTTATCGGTTATCAAACGATCGGGTTTCAACGCTGAGTAGAGAATCCTCACAACAGTGCCACTGTCGTATTCTGGCCTGGAACCGAAGTGACTACTGCTTTCCGCGCGGCTGGCGATGCAGTAGCCACTGTAGTAATAGACAAACAAGCGTCTTATGTTGACGACACCAGCCGATAGGGCACGCAACGTGTCAACAAGGAAGATGCGCTCGGGCAATAACAGACGGCGCCACCAGTCTGGTTAATTCTAGTTTTTGCTTAACTAATTACGGCTTCGTTTGATTTACCTGCACCGGTGCAGAAAGTGTAGGGCAGTGTACTTCCGCTATGTGTATTGAGATACCACCGGAAGTACACCGTCCTACACTTTTTTGCACCGGTGCAGGAGGTGCAGGTAAATCGAACGAAGCTGAACGTTGGTTTCGGTCAAGGACGTTGGTTTCGGTTCCGATTTCGTCTATGGTGTTGGGGGCCATAGAGTTATTAGGGAGTTTTAGAATAACGTACGCAATTTTAGCGCACGCTAGCGCTAAATTTAGCGCTTGTATTAGCGCACGCGATGCAAGAGAGTTTTAGAATAGCGTTTCTCCGTCGCGACGCAAAAGCCCAAGCATCTCGCGCTTGTGACGCCACCAAGGTACAGTAACAATTTTTATTTCGCACACGAAATGCTCTAACTTCAGAAAAAAAAGTTTCCTGGTCCAGAGTAGCACTTTAGATTTGTTTAAACGTGAGAATGCGACGCGAGCGGTTGACCGATCGTGTCCGCTTGCGTCGCCTCGGCAAGAGAGGTCTCGTGCACTGACCTTCGCCGAGAAATGTTCGCGCGTCGCAAGCATCAAGTTGCCGGTGATCGTTGCCGAACCGAGTACAATGTCGTCCCGTATTGAAAATCGCAGTCGCGAGGATGCCGCCGACCCCGCACTCACGACGCCGCCTCAGCATCCGCAAACATAATCCAGCAAGCCGCCATTTTTTTAACTCTGCTCGTCTTGGCTTTAGCCAATTTGTCATCACGAATCCTCCTTGGAGAAGCGCAAAGATTCTTTCCGTACGCACGCTATTTCCGAGAAATAGCGCACGCTAAAATAGCGCACGCAAAGCGCAAAACCTGGTTTGCGTTCGGAGCATGCGCAGTGGCGAATAGCGTCGTCGCCACTGCGCATGCTCCGAACGCAAACCAGGTTTTGCGCTTTGCGTGCGCAATTTTAGCGTGCGCTATTTCTCGGAAATAGCGTGCGTACGCAGAGTCTTTGCGCTTCTCCAAGGAGGATTCGTGATGAGAAGTTCGCTAAAGCCAAGACGAGCAGAGTTTAAAAATATGGCGGCTTCCAGGAGATTATGTCGGCGGCTGCTTTAACGGCGTCGTGAGTGCGACGTCGGCAGCATCCTCACGACTGCGATTTTCAATACGGGACGACATTGTACTCGGTTTGGCGACGATCACCGGCAACTTGATTCTTGCGACGCGTAAAAAATAAAGCACATGGGCTACAAAAGGTTGTATTTTTATTAGTCCCTATGTCGGGCAGTTTTTATCGGGCACCTGTTCTCGGCTTCTCCCTATTTGCAAAGATTTGGAGCGTACCGAGTGGTGATTTGAGCCCAGAACAAGCATCTTCGCACACATTCATGAGCAGAAAGAATAAATCAGTACTTATTTATTGGAAATCGGACTATATCACGTGGCTTTAAATTTATTTTGATCGTCTGCATGCACGAGGAGTTACTTATCCAGTGTTACAGCGTAGTTTTTGCCGTCTCTCTTAAGTTTTCCAGGTGTCCTTCGTTCGTTTTGTACGTATATCCCCCATGCTAGAAAGCGCCGACGCCGTGTTCGGGCTAACAGTGTCCGACAGTGCACATAAATATACGAAGCAGTTTTAGCACCGTTTTTTATGCCACGAATTTAATATAAAAACGCCGTAACTGACCAATTATTTCGTCTGCGTGACTGAGAAATGCTACAATGTGCCTAGTTCGTACAAATTATTCGTGATATTTGCTCTTATAATCGAGCGCAGAGAGAAAATGCACTTGCTTTTTCCCATAGAGATGCATTACTGGAAGTCAATTTCGGACTGGTTGCTGTCTGCTTCAATTTGCAGCAGCACACTAGCGCCAATTGAACCTCTAGCGTACATTATTATAACTCCATAGTGGGGACCAGACGTGCAAGCACATGTAGTGTGCTCGTGAAGATAGCTTCAGCAGGCATCAAGTTGCATGATAATGCAATTTTTGCAGAGCGCAAGCGAGCTGGGCAAGAATGGCGATAATAATCCCTAGAGGAGGGAGACATGGGGGACAAAGGACAAACAGAAATCTCCAAACACAGCTGAAAAGTTGGTAGAGCGCTCTACTGGAAATGGAGAAGTCCCTGGTTCGATACCGGGACCAGAAGGATTTTTCCGGTCGCACCTAGCTGTGTTTGGGGATTTGTGTTTGTCCTTTGTCCCCTTTGTTCCCCTTCTCCAGGGATTATTATCGTCACTCAAGTGGCACATATCTGCCAACAGGAGTGGCGCCCGTTAAAGCCATTCCAAGAAAGGGCATCTATATATGTGTGGCGTTTTGAGTGTTCGTGCATATGGCGCTCGCGCGCTTTCTGAAAGGACGAACGCGCACGTGCTGGGATGTGGAGGTCTCACAGCGGTCTGTGAATTTGTAAATGACGTTGGAGTGGTAGAGAAAAAAAAAAAAAAAAAAAACCTAAAGTTTTTTTTTTTTTTTTTTTGCTTTCTTTTTCTTTTAGGGATATTTCTGAAGTAAATGGTTCTCAGTGCTGTGATTCATGGGAGAAAAAATATCGTAGAATTCACCTCCAACTTATTTATTTTTCAAGAAACTCTTCAGCTTCTCTTTAATATGTAATGTTGACGAGAAGAGACTTACCCATTGTAGGGGTCGACTTTCATCTCCGAAGGCTTCTTGTCAAAGCCAGAGACTGCCACCCGACATTCGCTTCCAGTAAGGTTGCACACGCTTATCTGCGACAGAGAAAGACAAACAAGTACAGAATCAAGATTTGCCTCATTCTATGAGATATCTGAATATTTAATAACGTGAACATAGATAAAAAAAAAACACTTCAAAATAAAATGCCGCAAAAATGAGGCCTGTACAGAAGCAAATTATCAGGAAGATGGATATATTTCAAAATGCTGTGCTACAAACAGCCCTTGTTACGCTCGCCTGGTCAAGTGAACAAATTTTAAGGCGATGCCGTAAGTTTTTTTTTCTAAAATAAAAACAAAGTGTACTAACAACTTTGTCGTGGACCCCAGCTGTACCAATTTACTGTTTTCTCGGCTCCTTCGAACATAAAGCGGAACCTATGTTGAATTCTCTTTTTGAAATCCGCACAGATCACGAAGTGGCGGGTAACGTTAGGATATACATCGGAAGCGAACCCCCGCATTGCTCAACAACACGCTGTGTCACTTCGCACAGATACGAGGAAGCATAACACTGCTTTTCTTATTACGTTGCAAGGTGGTTATCTGACCCTTTACCAATGGATTCAAGAGGGAAGTGACGAACAGCAGCCATCATTGCAACTCAACCGTACAATCGGAACAGTTTCAGGAGTGAAGAAATAAAAATAACAGTCATAATATTTGAAACAAAAAGTACGAGAATCGCAGTTGAAATTCCAAAACTTGAATTGCAAGAGTTGCAAGAATTACCTCCCCGGTGGCATTAAGAAAAACGTGAAAGACTAGGTAAGACTGTCATTATTCATTCAGAAGCCGTATCGGAAGCGTACCTGTTCGCCTTCTACCATGTAAAGCATGTGGTTGAGCCAGTCGACGGAAAGGAGACCGATATGATTTGAGCTGTTTAGAATGATAGCATTAGAACGGAATCCATCTGCAAATTCGATGCTGTGAATTGACCCCAGTGAATCCGCAACGAAGAGCAGGTTCTTCGAGACGTGCACTGCTACACCTAGAAACAAGAAAAGAAACGATGTAAAGAAATTATTAATATTTTATCTAACTGGAAATAATATTGCAGAAGTGCGTTTGCGGTTTACATATGTCAATCTGAAGTTACCCGTAATCTCCAATGGAGACGCTGTGTGGAACGCTGCAACTGGCACGTCAAGGATGCTCAGTCCTTGTTTCAGAACTTGCCATCGCGTTGCAATTAAAAGGTGAGGCTCCGGTGTGGGTAACACTGGAATAAATAAAGAAATTATTCTTGCTGTAGACATTAGAAAAGCCGATGTTTTCTCGCGGCGTTCTTGAAAGGATAAGGAAGGCATTTGAAGAGGGGTCATGTTTTATCGGCCCGACGTACGATAGACGAAACGCTCCTGACTACTGGACTTGAATACACCCTAAATGATCAGAATGGCAAAGTTCTCAACATGGTTTCACGCGAAAGAGGTGGCAGAGCTAACGTACAAAAAGTTGGAGCGCGAACGAGCTGGGGAAGGTTTAACATAATTTAGGACAAACCCAGTCTCGGGTTTATTTAAAGACCCCAGTCTCGGCGGTTTAGCAGAGCTGTGGAGGCTTAGTCATGCCAAACTTTATTTTCATTTTTTTGTTGTTTTGTTTTTGCGTGGCATGACAACTGTAATTTTGGCGGCGCCTTAGATCTCTTCCTATCGTCTAAATTCAAAATTAACAAATTAAGGGCAGAAGGAACAGAGATCCCGAATCGCATCAGCGCGTGCTCATCATTTGGAGAGGATTAAATCAGACTCTTGGAAAATGAATGTTGAACGAAGAAGGAGGAGACGCTGCCAAAAAGAAAAACCGAAAAACGGAAACGTCAGCCTTCAAAAGAAATTATCGACTATTTTATAATGAGCGTAGGACTCTGAGCCCTTGATAAGCTCCCAGTAAGGACCGAGAATTCTAGCAACGCCAATTTAAGCAGCATTCGGATTAAAAATTCGAGATACGATAGAAGAGACAACTCACATGTGTTGTTGATGTGCGCGGGAGTCGTAATGTTCCGTCTGTCCGCGGGGCCCAGGCCGAGGTTGTTGTTGGTCGCCACCGATACAGTGTAGAGCATCTCGGGTCTCAAGCCGCTGAACATGAAGTACAAACCCCCGGTAATATCGGAGATGTCCTGGAGGAAAAAAAAAAAGCCATCCAACAGCTATCGATTTCGCTGAAAGGATTGGAAAATTTAAATATTGTTTCAGTCTCGGCGTCGGCATTTCTCAAAGACGGATGGTGCTCTGTGGCAGAGTTTCACCCTCAGTTTTAGTATAGGTAATGACGATCCGAACTCTTACAGAGCTCACAAAAACCTAAGCATCGCAAACAACGCAGAAGTACAGGAAATGCTGAAAGATTGCGCGTCGACACAAACAAGTCTTTCGGCAAGCTGAAAGCTACGTTTCTTGGCAGGGTTCATTTGCGTGAGAGGGCTCTATGTGTGTCCCGCATGCAAGTAAAGGCACATGCATCAGTTATAACCTAGATCTTAAAATGAGAAATAGATGAAACATTTCAAATTTTATGTTCTCTGTCCCCGCCCGGATATCAAATTGGACGAACTAAAAGATTATCTGGGCTTCTATTGTGCGCTTGTCCACTATACTTCATCAAACGTTTCCAGCTTTTTCAGTTTCTTTTTAAGACTTTCTTTTTTTTGGGGGGGAAGGGGGGGGGGGGGGATTTGGGAGCACAGGTGATTATACCTTGACGGTTGTGAAACCGCTCGGATGTTCCACGAGGTAGAGCACGTAGGAGAGAATAGGTCCGTTCGGGAACTGCGGAGGGTCCCAGCTCACCGCAATGCGTCTCGGACCGATCGTGGTGAGGCTCGTGATTTTAGGCGGCGTCGAAGGAACTGCAACGATCGCACGGTAGAAAAGACAGAAAGAAACATAATCTTTATTCTTTTGTTACGACAAATATTTATGGAATGATCCTAACCACCACGTTCTCTCTGACGTTTTATACAACGAGTTGCAAGAATTACCTCCGTGTGGTAGCGTCGATATGACAACGCTTGGCAGCGAAAACAGCGGGTTGTTGTTTGGCAAGATGACCCAAGCGACACGGAACTGCAAGAAAACCGACCAAGCCATCAGTTAATAAAGGCACCCGAAGCGTAAAAAATCGTGTCGTTGTGGCAAAGGGCTGCGAGTCGAAAAAATAATTTCTGCACGTTTCTCATTGGTGAAAGCGTCTAGCATAGCAGGCGGACAGCTTTTCACGTGATGGTAGGTTTACCTTAATTTCGAAAATATAGCTTCCTACACAAAATATAATTTTGAAACAGCTAGGTTCGGTTAATATAACCCAACGAATACAGAAAAAAAAATGGGCCGAAATCGCTTCTGCCGCCACGCTGATTCTCGAAGAAATGGGTTAGAATTTCGCGCAGCGGTTATGGACCCCTTTCAAGAGGCACGTGTTGATTATTAGAAGGTCGGAACCACTGCACAATGGCGAAGCGACTGCATCGAGAAACGTGCAAGTCATTCCATAAGATAGCGAACGTCGGAGCGCGGCCAACATTCCGAGCCGACGAGCCAACCAAACAGCGTCGAAAGTGCAACGTCACTGCGATCATCACCTTTTTCTGTGGGTGTGTTTTTTCCAGTGCGCCGTGACGTTGAGGTTTTAGTCCGCCATTGTGCAGGGATTTCACAGCTCCCTACAGAATACCGTATTTTGAAAGGGGTCGTTTATAACAATGCATGGGGAATGCAGGCATTCAGCATTTCTCCGCAGGGTGAACGTTCCCGAAACCCTTCTTCTACCTGACGCAAGCCGATCAGGTCACTTAGCGTGTGGATGGAGGGCGTGCGTGCGATGCGCGGAAATCGGCACTTGATGCAGAACACATGGTGCTTGAGAGGCGAACCGGGAGCCTATTCCCAACACCGAAAAAGGTGACGCCAGCCAGCGGAGAAGACGCGAAAGAGGGGATCGGGGGGCTACCGCTCTGTCCTGGAGAATTGAACCAGGCCTGCCACACACCTCCTCAGGACAAAGGTAATCCTAGACTCTGTAATTCTCTTCTTGAGGGAGCCCTGCCTGACCTCGTCTTTTTAGGGGAGCCGTCGCACGGCCAAGCCCAGCATTATGCGAGTGCCTGACGTATCAATAAACGTTTTCCACCATCACCACCACCGTCCTAGTACGAAGCGAAAACTGGGGCGGCCTAACGGCCAGAACGTGAAACATAAAAAAAAGAGGGGAGGCACTCACTTGATCGAATGACAATTTAGCGAACGCCCACGTTTCACCGAATGACACTTTAGCGAATAGTCGGACGCCGCGAAGCGGCGTTTTCGGTTGGGCCAAATGGGTTCACATTTTTGTAATGAGCCGCCGCAGACTGTCGCCGCGAAGCGGCGAAAGAGCGCGGCGGATGGGTTAACGCGCGCCCCCGTTATTCGCTAAAACGTCGATTCGCTCAAATGTCGCTGTTCGCTAAAACGTCATTCGCTCATATGATATGGACCCAAAAAAGAGAGAGATTAAATGCACGTCGTTGGAGTTGCGAACGGGCCCTTACTCTGTATTTGGTGTAAGGTCGGAGTCCCTCGATGCGGAGGGAGTTTGTGGCGAGCGGCCGATCCGGCTCGTAGTACTCCCAGTCTCCCTGCAGGGCATCGTACTTCCACTGGACCAGAAAGCTGCCGTTGTAGACCGGGGAAGCGTTCCAGCGGATCGTCACCGTGTCGCTGGTTCTCGAATCGGCCACCAAGAATGGCGCCGGTGGTTGGCCGATTTGTGCTGCAGCACGGAACGGGTGCGTTGTTAATAATCACCCTATGAGCCGCTAGATGAGCTACTTCCTAAGGCTCCTTCACACAGTTGCGTTTGACTGCGTTTGACCGCTCTAGGACTGCTTGTGTCGAGCTATTGCGACGGCGACCCTTACGACGAGCCAATGGGGCGGCTCTGCGGTGCACGGCGCAACGCAGTCCAGTTGTGTGAACGAGCCTTTAAAGTATCGGCACTCCGTTACCCGATCTGCTAGTGGATGCCACCTTCTTGGTGCTCAGTGAAGGGCAGACGCAACTGTCGATCGTCACAATTCAAAAATGCCACTTCCTCAGCGTTAGATACGCTGTTGGAAACCTCAGGTGATATTGATTTGCTATGTCGCGAACTGTTTTAACAATTCTGTGTGGAGGACGGAAAAGCAGTTTCCGCGGTTCCAGGTAAAGCTTCGGACAACTGGCAACCATGATAGTAAACACCAAGATGGCCAAAGTTTCGGTACTTCGAGGCGTATACCTAATTTAGCGATGTCGAATTTTATGATGCCAGAGTAGTCAAAGTCTCCATCTGGCCGTAGCCAGCAGTTAAACGTTTAGGTTCGTCCGAGGTGTGATTTTATTGGTAACCGTTGTAGTAGTGTGTTATTGGCTCATAAGTGGCGTCTCAAGGAAAATTTGCCTTTTGAGACGCAGATCCGAAGCAAAGTATGCTTCGAAGTGGAGGCAGAAGCTAACTCGGTGCCAAAGCCGGTATAACGACAGAAAAAAAAAAAATTAAAATTACTGACGTTTGCGCTCCTCTGTAATACGAAATTAGAGCCCAGCTCTTGAGGTATGTTGATCGTGAGATATATATATATATATATATATATATATATATATATATATATATATATATATATATATATATATATATATATATATATATATATATATATATATATATATATATATGATTTTTGTATTGTTTAATTTTAGGGTAGGCCAGGGAAAACGAGGAGGGTACGATAGAAGCCCCATAAGGCAACGCGCGCGGTGTTTGTTTCAACGTGAAACGTTTTTGGCTACTTGCTCGGGATTTCATGAAGGCCACGGCTCCGCATCTCGCGAAGCCGTGGCCTTTGACGTCACATAACGTCAAAGTTTCCCCGCTAAATTTAGCTGGAAAATTAACGCCACGTGATTTCAACAGCAATTCATTTTCCCTGCAAAATTTGGCGGGAAAAATGGCGTCACATGACTTCATGTCACGTCACCGATGAACAAAATCAGTTTCCCCTCTAGATTTAGCGGGAAAATTGACGTCAGGTGATCTCAACACCAGTTCAGTTTTCCCGCTAAATTTAGCGGGGAAAATGATGTTACATGACTTTATGTCACGTGACTTATACAGAAGGTCGGTTTCCCGCTAAATTGAGCTGGGAAACTGAATGCGCAATGTTGCGTTATGGGACATCACAGACCTACACACCAATTCAGTTTCTTCACTAAATTTAGCGGGGAATTTAGTTGGTGTATAGGGCTGTGAAGTCCAATAATGCAACGCGCGCGGTTACGCCGACGGCGGTGGCGACGTCGACGCCGCTTTACGAGGAAGTGGGCGTCTAAGAGCTGCGCTCTCAAAAAAGATCAGCTGAGACAACTATAGCGATGTTACCACACTTTAAAATTAGAAACGTGTAAAAACACTGGCACCACGATTCAACACATCATGTACGCATGCAAGTCAAAAAGAAAACGAGAGGCAGGTAAGAAAGAAGTTACCTTTGAGATTCTGCAGGTACGCTGTGACAGCGAGGTTACATCCCATGAGACAAAACAGGTCCTGAAAACGCAACAAAAAAGCACATTCGACTCGAAAGACTTTTATGGCATGTACACCACTCCTAAGACAGTGCAAATAGCGAAAAGAAGAGGAAAAAGAAAAAGGTGAAAGAACGGAGAGAGTTAAACAGAACTTGTTTCAGATGAATGAACTTATGTAAAATACAATCCAAAGAATCAACATGTTTTACCTTCCCTTGAGATGGAACGGATCCATTCTGGAAAGAAAGTAACGTATAATTGATGGCCATGGTAACGTACATTTTAAATATCATGACACAAACTACGAATGCAGTTATCTAAAAAAGGGGAATTTGTAAGGTTCGTCGATCACTCACACAGACGCCTTCGCACGAGGACGACGTGGACTCTCGCCACTTGTCACAACCATCTCGGCACTGCAAACAAGAAGAATGTTTCGTTTAATTACTTTAGGACTGAGCGTATTGTAAGAACCAGCTGATTGGGCCCCCGCCCCCCTATACACCTTTCCAAAATAAACGATCCCGGAATAGTGGATGTATGCCGACGGCTTACCGAAGAGACGGGAAAGCGCAAGCGCGGGACGCAAACAAAGCACGTTTCGAGACGTGCTTGTGAAACCATCGAAATATTTTCGTCTCTGGATACCAGTGAAGTTCCCCATTGTTTTGAAAACTGGGGTAAACATATTTTCAGCAGCCCAGAGATGTGACGTGCTGTGTATACGACGCCAGCATAAATAAAAAGGATCGGTATGGACATGAAATACTACCTTAAACAAAAACCATAAACGTAAAAAAAAAATAATAATAATAAACGACTTCAGTGGAGAAAGTGTTTCTTTAATTCCCGAGCTATCAGTTTGTTGCATTGGAAGAACAATCATACAGTCGAGTCTCATTAATATAGACCACATTAATATGGATAACCCGCCACGTAAAAAAAAGCTTTCGAGAAGAAACTGTGTAAAAGAATCACTTTCAAAAAAGCCCTGCGTCTACTTTCCACACAACACCCGGAGAACCAATCACTGCAACTTACGGAGGCAGCTCAGCGAACGACGATGCCGAGACATATGTTTAGACCAAAACACGCAGTCTGAGTTGTGACACTAAGCAATGGAAACGTGACGTTTTGTAATGCTTAATGTCACAACTCTGCGTTTTTTGGTCTAAACATATTTTTCGGCATCGTCATTCGCTGAGCTGCCTCCGTAAGTTGTGGTGATTGGCTCTCAGAGTGTTGTCTGGAATAGTAAACGCACGGGTTCTTTTTTTTTTTTTTTTTTGAGTAATAAATTTTTGCCTCGTTATTATGAACAACTCGCATTATAGACAATTTGGGGGGCGAGGGGGGGGGGCGGCGTAGGGGTGACTATGTTAACAAATCATTACTGCAGTTTTGGTATATGCGTCAATAAGGAATCGTAAAACTCAGAAATTATTTTGTGATTTTTCATCTCCATTTTTTACTACGGGATTTGATATTGTATGAAAGGTAGGATCGAACCGTTCTTTCTGAAAAATCTATAAGAAAAAAAATCAAGAGCACAAACTAGATTCAGAGTGCATGCAGTCGATGTTATAAATGAACCGACGAAGCGAATCAAACAGCGACACTTTAAGCCGGGAACACACGTATACACAAGCACATACACCGAATACGTGCAGTCATTCTAATGATGCGCGGAGAATAAGCCGTGCCACTAAGCCCGTAGTATGTAGGATGCAGTTTATGTTACGTACTACTAAAGATTTTCACTGCGGTCCGACTTCAGGTGACACGAAATAAAGGAGTGCGACAGCGCGGTAGAGTCTTTATAAATTATTGTGAAAAAATGCCAAGGCATACAGTTTTCTGGACACCACTCGAGAAGTTGATCAGTGCGGTCTACGAAGCAAAAGCAAGTTTCGATTCATGGCCTAAAACTGAAGAGTATAGCTGCGTCGGGACGTTGAGCTGGACCTAAGCATGTGAATCACCAAGGAGTGTCACATCGCAGACTTCAATTTTCAGTAGAAATATTTGTTTCTCTTGTTTGGTTGAATTCTTTTTGTAGATCGCAGTGATTGGCTCTGCGGGTGCCCTGCAGGAAAGTAGGCGCACGGGCGTAACTATTCACAGCCCCGCTTAAAAACAAATGATATAATGTATATAAAATACAGATGGTTCATAATCTAAAACCGGCTGAGATGAAGCCTCGCGTACGTCATCCTTGTATCGAAATAACTGTACACATCCACGCACACATAGTTATGCACCACCCACTCCTCTATCCCTCCCACCCCCCTGCGTCTTCGTGCAAATTGCAACAAACATTTGCGATTCCAGGTGGGGGGTTCCTCATCACACAGCAGAGCCAGAAAAGCGTTCCGACATTGAAGTCGCGTCTTAAAATACCGTATCCCAGCCTCAGTTATTTATTATGATAAGATTAATCGGACATAAAGCGAAGCATAGACCCGAACACAAACACACACTTTCCGTACAAAGACCCCGAAATACAGATCCATTTTCTTCCTTATAGAGTTCTCACGGCCGCCGCAATCTTCCCCTTGAAGTTTTCAAGCAGGACGTTAAAACAACACGCCAGACCAGTTTTATATTTCTCTTTTGGTGGAAACGCGGGGATTCAAGCTCCTTTTCAATAGGCGTAATCGTCAATACATTCGAAAATAAACGTTCTCTTATACGGCCTCGTGCCGAGGGGCGTAAACGAAGCATTTGATGTAATGTACGTACTTATTACACGCGCACATCCTTGAATGGAGCCTAGTCATAACAAAAGGTCGTGTATCTGGCGCGTGGCCGTTAGAGAAGGTCACGGACGTGGCATATCCTCACATGAAGACTGAAGGAAGAGGGGGGGGGCGACGATGTTGATGGTGTGTGGGTGATGGTAGGCCAGATGGTGTGGTTAAGGTCAGCAAGTAGGGTCATCTCGCTTAGAAGCCAGAACCCACCATCAAAGCCTACAGGGTTTAAGACAGGCACGGGGCTCATGTTTTGCCTGGACCATCTCAACGCGAGCGAACACATAAAGATGAAGTTTAGAGCTTACAAAAGGCCGTGGTCGAGCGTGATTAACCCTCCTGAAACGTGATTGATGTGTACTGGCCGGGGTGAACGTTCGGCGAGCGTGTGTTCGGGGAAAAAAAGTTGGAAACGTACACCCGCTTGTCTTCTCTGTGTAAGTGCGCTTGCTGCGTGAGAGTTCGTGCAGGAAAGAGAATCAAATTAATATATTTTATCTATGTTCTTTTATCTTATCCACGCATTTGGCAATATAAACGTATTGGTCCAGTTCAAACTTTGTCCGTCAGGTACACTTTTCGGTTGTTTTTATCGGGATCGATAGAACGTAAATGGAGATTAATATCGAACGTGTATAGACACGAGCCGATATCCGCAATAATACCAACGGAATTCAATAAACCTTAATTTAAGTTTGTGGAGAGCGGATTATATGTCGGATCCCTCTGTTGCGGAGCGGACGCAGGCGTAAATATTATCGTAATTTTCTAGTCGAATCGATATATTGGTGGTGCTTCATGTACAGGAGACTACATAATTGGTTTAGTAGAGAAAGCACAAAGGCTAAACAAGCTAATGATTGTCTAATAAATATAAGAAAAAGGGAAAATATATCTATCTCCTTGTGGCTTGTTGTTGTTTGTTTGGTTTTTGGGCAACAGTATAACGAAGAAAATTTAAATGTTTTTCCGTTGATGAAGATTCTGTCACTAACCAAACAACTGTTTATTTAAGGAACATATAAAAATTACTCTTTTACATCACTTTCCACATTATATAATTTGAAATTAAGCTTTAGGGTTACTACTCCTAACCTCTGGCGACTTTCCCTGCCGTCCTCCTCGATCACACCTTCAGCAGGTGCCCCCAACACAGCCAAACTCAACAAACAAGGATCCACACAAAGGCGGGCGAGCAGAACTCCTCCACAGTCGTAAGGAGTTCCGAGTTTGCAAGTTAGCGTGCGGAAGACTCCACAGGTGAAAGGGATCGGACGTGCAGGTTGGCATGGTGATGTTCAAGGCTTAGTATTCAGGAGCAGGGTCCTCTGCTGGCCCTTGGCGTCTGCCTATATTGAGTTTACCAGCATTCTGGAGTCACTTTGATAACCAATCACAAAAGGTTTTCTTGGAGCCAATAAAAAGGCTCGGAGCCCAAAGCAAATATGAACATATCAAAAACAAGCGCATACACAAGACAGAAAAGCTTCCAAACGAAGCTCGGAGCTATAATCAATACAAAGCATATTCGTAGATGGAGAAGTTATACACGGAGCAAAACCACCTCCGAAGTGGAAATCCCAAAAGCGACCTGCACAGCACGAAACATCTCCAACGCGGAGCTCTATAAACAAGTGTGAGGTTACAACGTTCACGTTCGCCCCCATCTGGGGCCATGAACCGTTCCGTAAAAACGAACGAACCCTCGGAGAAGGTAAAAACATAAAGTAAAGCTCGACTAAATACTCGCGCGAGCACAACTTCGCGAACATAGGTTGCGAGTTTGCAAGGCGCTCTGCGTATTGCGCCTCCCATTACGAGGAACTGCTTCACCGACTAGTCGATGATGACTTAAAAAAAGAGGGGGAGGGGTGGCAAGCACCAAGCATATTATTATTATCGCGGTACCGTTCATAAAACAGCGGATTCCTGTTTTGCTTTTTAGACGATGATCTTTTCGCGTTCTTTTTGGCTGATTTCCTCTTCATACGTTGGTCTGTCTTCTCGAGCTGATCCTTCTGATAGCACACACAGTCTCCGGGTTCGGTATTAACGTCTTAGCGCAAAGTTTGCACAAAAACCCGCGAGATGTGTGTTTTTGGGAAGGGTTTGTTCATCATTCGTAGGAGTACACACGAGCGCCGTTCGTACCTGACATGTAAAGAGAAATGAAGAAACGTTGCATATGCCGGATGCGATCGTTGTGGGCTCGATATTAAAGATACAACCGCGCAGGATATACTTTTTGGATGCGACTCGGAGATGTTGTTACAATGTTTAAGCTGTCCGGGTCGTATATGCACATACACATGCCGTCACTATTCGCGTAAAACTTTTAGTCTTTTTCTCAAAGGGATCGGAGAGTCATTAGAAGGATTTACCATTTGAGGGATGATTGAAATATTTTCTGCCTCCTCACAACCAAATTGCATAGAAGTTCCGTCCATTCGAATTTCTACCCCATAAGCTTCGCTTCAAGACAAATTGTTGACTGCACGTTAACTCGCCACTGTGCATTTTAGAACATATGCAGCACTCGCTAAACTGCTGCTGTACGGCGTCGGTACGAGTGTCGCCATAGGGCAGCCCGACCTCTCGCTGTCTAAAACTAGACAACGTTCAATATGAACCTTTATTCTGTATTTTATGTTGGTAATCCATGT